CAAGTCTATTTTGATTTTGGACACAGATATGGGTGGCCATGTTGGAAGATGGTCTATAAGGTGGCCAGGATCTTCTTTCTCAGAGTTAGTAGCTGAATATAATTCATGGAAATACATTTCCCAGTTGGCTGAAGTGATGAGAAATTCCACCCGCTTTGGACTGCTGTCTTGTATCCCCAAGACTAAGTGCCAAAAGCTGGGTTAAGACATACCAATTTTTTCTTCCTGGTTTCTTTCTATTTATATTCCAGTGGTTTTTTTATACTGCCTCTTTTTTGGTAGAAGCTCAGAAGCAGCTGCTACTGATGTGCTAGTTAGATAAGACTGGTAGGTAGCAGTAAAGGTTGGGTTTTTTGTTTTTGTATTTTGGTTTGCTGTTACACAGTCTTTATCAAACCATGGTTTGGAGTAGATTTCATTTAGTCTTGATTCAGTACTGCCATTATTAGATAGAATCTGAAGTAGCTCCTGGGTAAGTTTGTTGTAGTTCTCTAGGAGTACATCCGGCATTTCAGCTTACACCGCAAATTGAAGAAATTGACAGCAATAGGATGACAATAAATCAGTTACTGACTGGTTTTTCTGTGCATTTCATTTAGTTCTACGATAGGTTCTGCCTTCTGGTGCTATATCAGTTTGATGATGAGCCTCAGCATGGAGTTCTTGGGGAAAGTTATTTAACCGCAGTGAGATTGGAAAGTGGTCACTATCAAACATTGGGATAAATTCCAGAACATTAGCATGTGCAAGGAGATCTCTAGATGTAATTATATAGTCAATTGCACTCATTCTGGAGCCTGAAAGATAGGTGAATCCTGAAGGATGATCTCTCTCCACTTAAAATGTGGAGATTTAGTCTAAAGCAGAGTTTTCCAAACTGTGTGTTGTGATGAACGCTCTCCGCACTCCTCCCCAGGCTGGAAAGGGTCAGGGGTCAACAAACTTTTTCAGAAAGTGGCCAGTCCACTGTCCCTCAGACCTTGTGGGGGGCCAGAATATATTTTGAAAAAAAATAATGAACAAATTCCTATGCTCCACAAATAACCCAGAGGTGCATTTTAAATAAAAGGACCCATTCTACTCATGTAAAAACACGCTGATTCCTGGACCATCTGCAGACCGGATTTAGAAGGTAATTGGGCCAGATCCGGTCCCCGGGCCTTAGTTTGCCTACCCATGGGTTAGTTTAATCTCTGGTTTGCTAGTAAAACTGAATTATTGTGTCATGAAATGATGCAGGTCTAAAAAGTGTGTCACAAAATGATGCAGATCTAAAAAGTGTGTCACCAACATGAAAAGTTTGGAAAGCTCTAGTCTAAAGGTTGTTAGAGTCAGGCACAAAGCCACATTCTTGGATTTCTGATCCTTTGAGCAGCGTGTCAGTAAAACGCCATCTTCCTCTAAATGAGGCCAGGGGCAGTTATGCTGCAAGTACAAAGTGCTGTCATTGAGGCCTAGTCTAGCATTCAAGTCACCCTCTAGAATCCTAGGTGCATGTGGGTTTTTCATAATGAGATTGGCCACGTAGACCTCACGTTCCACCCCCAGGGCTTTGACCTGGGACTTCTGCCTCAGTGAGGACATGTGAGAGTTTATTATCAGTATACAACAGAATTGGAATTGAATTTTGACTGCCATAGCATGTGACTTAAAAGAAGGAGGGTAGTTATAGCAGCTCATAAAGTCAAAGAAATGAGAATTCCCAGTCCTCCTCTTGCTCGACCAAAGCTGCCCCTTTTTACCGCCCCTACGGAGAAGGTATGAAAGCCATTTAAGGACAGCTTTCCGGTGTGCCAAGTTTCCTGGACAAGAATAATACCAAAGCCAGTTAAGAAGGTGATGAAGGTAGGGCCTCTGGTATATGCAGCCTAGCCAGCCACATTCCAAGTGAGAGTCAGAAGGGATGGGTGAGAGCCAGGCAATATGAACCACTGCTTTCTCCTTTGCTATACAGTAATGCACTTGTCCCGCCTCTGTCATATTTTATAGGCAGTAATTCAACAGGTTAAGCCTCTTCTGACATCGAAATACAATTATGGGGAAAGCTTTTCCATGGAATGGTGAGGTGTAGAGGCCTATTGATATTAAGTGCGCTCATCAGCACAGGGAAGCCCACAATGCCCCCTGTATTCTAGGGAGCTGTGCGCTATGAAAAAGTCTGGGCAATGGCTAAAAGTTGCTCTACAAAGTATCAGCCCAAGGGCCTTTCCAAAGCACACCTATTAGAGAGAATCTTAGCCTTTGGCTTCCATCTAGTGGCTGTGTGCAGTAACAACCACTAGGAAATCAGGCTTATTTCTGCCCTTGTGAATGCATCTACCAAAATGTTGTTTTTTTTATGGGCAGAAAGCTGAGACTTACGTGTTTTGGGTTCTGTTTGAGTCAGCAGGCTGCAGCAGGCCTTTAGGAGGCAGTGACGGGCCCTGGCAGGCCTACCCCCAGGCAGGGCGGATCTCGTAGTGTCTACCTGCAACCACTGTGGGGCCTTCCGGAGACTGTGGCAGGCCCTAGTGGGCCTACTTGCAGCCGGAGCGGTCCTTCTCTGCCAAGCGGTGGCAAGAGCCCACAGGGTCCCAGGGTCTGTGTCTCTTTGGAGAATGGAAGGCAGGGCGGACTTCTTTGTATTGTTAATGTCCCTCAATTGTTCTAGATATCCATAGCTCAGCCAGGTTGTTTTGCATAAGCCAGCCCAGGAATTCCTTTACAATTTGCATTCTCCCTTCATATCACAAATAACCAAAATCCTAGCATTTATAAATTTCTATGGTGTAGGGCCCCCCCTCACTATATCTAACATTATCAAGCTGCTGTTTCCATTCTAAATTGAGTTATTTGTGCCCTTTAACAGCTGTGCAGCTTTCAAGAAATTAAGCAAAGGGAGCCTTTTTGAACATAGGAATACAATTAAGGGGGAATGTTTCACATGTTGACACTGTCATTTCCCCCCTTATTCGTTTAAGTTGTACAGAAACCAACAACTGCAATGTGTGTGTTCGTTTTTGTGTGTGTCTCTTCTTCACGGCTAAGAAAACAAGGTGAATCTCTTCTGAAATCTTAAGAAGTCAGTGAGGTGCGCTGTGCGTAGGGCGGGGACATGGGTGTAGCCAGGATTTATTTGGGGGGCGGGGCGCAGATTTTGGGACAGATGCATATTGTGACGCAATTGGTCAGTCAGTTAAGTATTTTTATTTATTTACAGTACTTGATTGGGGGGGGGGATCTGTCCCCTGTCTATGCCCATGCATGAGGATTTGATGTGGTAAAATCCAGATTGAAAATCCTTTGAAGCTTCGCTCATCCCAGAATATTACAGGCTTCCCAGACCTGCTCCATCAAGAAACTTTAAATACATATCTTCCAACATTTCTCCAATGAAAATAGGGATGTCCTGTTGAAGAAGAAGAAGAAGTATATCCCACCTATCTGTCTGGGTTGCCCCAGTCACTCTGGGCAGCTTCCAACATACATAAAAACATAAGAAAATATTGATCATTAAAAAAAACCCGTTCCCTATACAGGGCTGCCTTCAAATGTCTTCAAAAGGGTGTATAGTTACTTATCTCCTTGGCTCAGGGGTCAGATAATACAGTCAGAATAAGTGTAATACTATACAAATTATAATAATAAGGAGATTTCCTGCCCACTCTTCACCATGAGATTCCATGGTTGAGTAGGAACAATGTTAAAATACAGTATAATACCAGATAAAACTAAATGAATAATAGTGCAATGCTATGCATGTATAAGGGACGCAGGTGGCGCTGTGGTTTAAACCGCTTGGACTTGCCAATCAGAAGGTCGGCGGTTCGAGGCCCCGCGACCGGGTTAGCTCCCGTTGTTTGGTCCCTGCCAACCTAGCAGTTCAAAAGCACGCAGTGCAAGTAGATAAACAGGTACCGCTCCCGCGGAAAGGTAAACGGCGTTTCCGCGCACTGCTCTGGTTTCGGTGTTCCATTGCGCCAGAAGCGGCTTACTCATGCTGCCCACATGACCCGGAAACTGTCTGCGGACAAACGCCAGCTCTCTCGGCCTGTAAAGCAAGATGAGCGCCGCAACCCCAGAGTCGTTCTTGACTGGACTTAACTGTCAGGGGTACCTTTACCTTTATGCATGTATACTCTGAAGAGAACCTCCCTGTGTTCAGCAGGGCTTACTCACTAGTGTTCTTAGGTTTGCAGTCTGTGGTCTATGACCTGGGAGAATCTCTGCTCAGCCATGAATCTCCCTGGGTGACTTTGGGTCAGTTACCATCTCTCAGCCTAACCTACTTCACAGGCTTGTTGCGAGGATAAAATGGGGAGAACCATATGCACTGCCTTGAGCTCGCTGGAGGAAAAGTTGGTCTAAAAATGTAATAAATAAAATAAAGTGTAACAAAAGTTCTGCTTCTGTATATAATATGCCAAACTTAAAGAACTGAGGCAGTGTAGGGTACCAGCACCCAGCTTAAGTGATTCTCTGCAATATCATGTTGTGCTTTCCTATTCTTTAAGTATGGCAATCATAGCAAAAAGAAATACAGTATGACGATCCAAGCAGTATAGCGATCAAAGGAAAGGAGCAAAACTTTTATAAGATGTTGTAAAATACTATGTTAATGTTTAAATGAAAAGAAAGAAAGAGGTAATTTGACTAAGTAAATTTTATGTGAAATTGGTTTTGGAAAACTGCTACCATGGAGTATATGGAAACTCAGTTGGGGGGATTTGAGGAAGTCACTTAACAATGTTAACAAAAGTGGAATCGTTATAGCAAGGATAAATGCTTGTTTGTTTATTTTTGATGTCTTTTTTGTTATAAATTGGGAAATTAATTTTAAAAAATTGGGAGGGGGGAACAAAACAACAACAACAATGGAAAGCCGCCCCTGACCCTGGCGAGACCATAGTGCCCTTTGACCGCCTGACGGCAAAAGCGTTGGACTTTGAACTGTATACCGGAAAGGCGTCGAGAAGAGCGCGTCGGGCGGAGGCCCTAACCGCCGCCGGAAGTGACGCGAGAAAGAGGATGTGGCGGTTCTGACCGTGGCGGCGGCGGCGGTAGCAGCAGCAGCAGACGACGCCGGGCGAAGAACCTAGGGACGTTTCTGTCGCGCTGCATGCCGGGAGACAATGGACTAAGTGGGAGTTGGGCTGGACCAAGGCGCTGCTTCTTGTGGGGGGGGCGGGCATCTCTGGAGTGAAGGAGGCGGGGGGCAGTTCCAGATGGATTCGCCCTGATGGCGGTTGCCGCGGGAGGCCCCGAGTAGCCCTCCGAGCCCCGTCTGGCCTGGCCATGCCCGGCCCAGCTGCCCCTGCAGGAGGCCTGAGGTAAGAAATGCCGCTGCTTCCGCCGTCGCCGCTCTCGGGTCGCTCCGGGGCTCGACAGCCGGGAAGGTAAGGCGGAGCCTCCCAGCCCGGCGGCGTCCGCCGACCACCCCGCACTTTCTGGGGGCGGGAAGCGGCCTCTTTCCTCCTCGCTTCTCTGGTCTCTTCTTAAACCCCCCCCCCTTATTTACCAGGCAGGCTTCTCCATGGAAACGGGCCCGTCCTACGAAACACGGGCCCGTGGGTCTCCCGTTAAAATAAGGGGGGGCTCGCCATGAAAAGGAAGCGTCTGCGGGGTGGGGAGAACTTTGTAACTTCTCGCCATCTGTGGGGATTGTGTCCTGTTGACTTGGGAAAAACACGCGAGGAGGCGGCGGGGCTGTGTGGGCTAAGAAAGTAGAGGTAAGGTATTTAAACACTTATTTACACACACACACACCCCCGCTCTTCAAAGTTAAAAATGTGAGAGAAGGTGGTGGGAGAAAGAGGAGGTAAGATAAGGAAACAATTTCCTTTTCCCCTCAGTGAGGGACCATTTCTCTCCCCCTCCTCCATTCCTCTTCAGAGTTAGGGGAAAGAAACCACAAGGATATTGTTGGCACTTTTGAGACTCCTGGTTCAAATAACTTTCGTTGTGTATTAGCCCCGTTTTAGGTTGTGACTTGAAGAACTTCATTTCAGTATGGTGCTGCTTATTGGCTTTTGTGATAATGAGCCCTGAAGAGCATAATGGAATATTATAAAACTGTAATGACTGGGTGTTCCAGTTTTCAGGGTAGTATTGTTTTTAAAGTACAACAACTGTTAGGTTTGAATGGCTTTTATATCTTACTCCAGTCCATTAAATGACATTTATATCTTACTTCAGTTCATTGTTCCTTAAGATTTTGATTTACCGGTAAGTTTCTACTTGGGCTAAAACATGACATTTTAATATTTCTCACCACTGTAAACAAAGGAAAATAGTTTGTGTCTCTTGGTAGAGAACAACATGGCTGTCTAACAATCAAATTTCCTGTGAAGTACACTTTACGATTTTGTTGACAACAATAATTCATTGTTGGGGTTTTGAAAAGCTGGTCTAGGTTCTTCTTTTCTCACCATCCTGAGGTTTTTTTTTAATATGCTATTTCTATCTAACACACACACAGAGAGAGAGAGAGAGAAACACAAATATTTAGTTACTGTGGCAGAAAGAATTCACATATGAACTTGCTGTAAGAGATCAGGCATTATTTATACTGTATTGTTTGTTTTAAAACCTTAATTTGTGACCAAAGTTGGAGTATGGGGAATGTAATAAATATTGCCATAGTGTAGTTGTAACAACCAAATTATGACTAACTATTTTAATATGGCAAAACTAATCGCTAATTTAGACGCATGTGACAGTGAAATGGATGCTTCCAGGTCAACAATAGAAAAGTTCCAGCATGAATAATGTGTAAGAAGGCTTTAATATTTAAAATAGGTAAGGACACTCCAGAGCACATGGTATGCCATTGGGCCGTGAGGCTGACATAACACTCATGTGACTTTGTCCTAGGTGGCTTGTTTTCTTTAATGTAATGCCTATTGCTATTTGTTTATATAAACAGCTACTTAATAGTGTGTTTAAGACAGTATTCACTGTCGTAATACTGCAGGGTTTTTGTTTAAAAGAGAAAGGAGAAGCTTTTGAACACACACAACCTCTCTTATTAGGATTAATTTCCACAAATGTATTTATTTTAGAGTTTTTTTGTTTTAAATGCTTTCCAGGGCAAGGGTTCTTTCAAGATAGCTTACAGTCCATATAATAACAGAATACAGCAGAATAATTTTATCAATAGAAGCATTGAAAGAACTTTTGAAAAACAACATAGAATAAAAATAGATACAGTGAGAATCAAGATAAATATTCCCCATAATTGTTTCACATTACCTGAGATAGTGCTTACAGTTTGTTCTTGGATACTTCTCTGATGGCTCAAGTGGCATTTTTAGTTTCTTGTGCTTAAGAAAATATTAAGCATTTGCAGTTAAGCACATGCCCATATGATGTGAAACTCAGTTTTCCAAGAAGAAAGTTTCCACATGGGACCATTTGGACCTTATGGCTTGGCCCTCCATCCAGATGTAGTGGACTGCTGCACTCTGGACTACACTGTGCACTGTTTTCAGTTCCCAATGCCAAACAGGCATTGGAAAAGGAACATTAAGAGAAGGGAGAAAGCCTACAAAATTATAAGCTATTTCCTTCTCTTTCATGCTATAGAGCAGAGATAGGTTGAATTTAGTTTTTCCATTCCAGCATTCTGATATTACAAAGAGCCCTTCTAGAGCAGGCCAACAGGTGCATCAGCTATAGCATCCTGTTACCATAGTGCCCAATCAGGTGCCTGTGGGATAAGCAGGATGTGAGCACAAAAGCACTGTCCCAACTTCTGATTCCCATCATCTATTCCTGAATGGCATACTGCCTCTGACAGTGGAGATAAATCATAGTCATCCTTATAGTATTGATGGCCTTGTTATCCAAAAATGTGTCTAATCACCTTTTAAAGCCATCCAAGTTGGGGGCCATAACATCTTGGTGGAGTGAATTTCATAGTTTCATTATGTGCAGTGTGAAGAAATGCTTTCTTTTGTCAGTCTTGGGTGCACATGGGATGACTTGAGGCCTCTATTATTAAGCTTCTGTGTCTGACTATTGTCAAGGTAATGGGCAGTATCCAGCTAAACAGTTCTGCTAGCACAAGAACTTTTGACTTCACAACAGAACTTCCTTTTCTCTTTCTGCATATCCCCTAAATATGTTCAGGGGCTTTCCCCAACCCTCTGTTGCTGATTTAAGTGATAGTGAGGGGAAGTTCCATTGTGCAGCCCAAAGTACTTGTGCCTGTGGAGCAGTTTAGTTGGGTACTAGGCCTGGGAGTTATATTGACATCCCGCCCAGGACTGGTGTGAGGGGCAGACCGTAATGACAGCTTCACTCAGCTGTTGACTGTTGAGCAGGTTGAGCACAGTAACAGAAGCATCTGCGGTTGAAAACTGATAGTTTTTATTGAAAGATAGACGGATTATGTACAAAAACAGAATTCTCTCACTTTGTTCTACCCACCACCTTGCTGTTCTCTCACTGCAGATTTCTCTCACTTCTCACTTCAGAGTGCAACTGCCTGCTCCAAACTGAGAGCAAGTTCCCTTTATCTCAACTCAACTCCCAATGTCCTTGAACCTAGACATAACAACAGGTGTATTTGCCCTAAGCCAATTAACTGTTGCTGAAGGTGCTGAAGGTGTATTTGCCCTACTCCCAATTAACTGTTGCTGAAGGTATGGTATATTGCTGGTGAAGCCATCGCAGCTCCTGAGTCCATCTGCCTCCAGTGCCCAGCGCGCTGAAGGAGAAACAAGCTGTAGACGGGCGCTGCAGACAGAGGGACTCAGGAGAGGCAGAGGTTTCACCAGTGATGTACTGCTGAATGAAACCACCATCTGAAACCGCCATCGCGGTCTGCCCTCATACTGGCAGAGGGAGAAACCAGCTGCATCGGCGAGACACCGATACAGCTTCTTCCTCTCTCAGTTTCTTTAAACTGTTTGGCTGAGGAGCACGCCGCTGCCCTTGCCTCAGCCAAGCAGTTTTATGGAGCCCCCAAACCACCACTGGCTCACACAAGCCAGCGGTGTGGTGGAGGCTCCGTTAAAGTGCCTCCCCCCAGCTAAGAGACCCCTGCTCCTGCTTATATGCAAGCAGGAGCAGGAGCATGGCTGCTCAACTGAGGAGGTGTGGGCTCTGTCACCCTTTTCCACCGCTGCTATCCACTCTCCAGTGGAGAAGGTTAAAGGAACCGCAGGTGAGCAGCAGACTGGTGAGAGCTGATGCAGTTTTTCCCTGCTTCTCCCAGGCTAGAGCCAGTGCAGCTTGTTCAGTATCATGGTTTATCACCAAACCATGATGTTTGGCTGATGATAAATCACGATGTTGAAAATCTAACGTCGCTCAGCCCTATTGGATACTGCCCGATACTTTTGTATAGGTAGCTGCCCCATATTTTTGTATATGGTACACTGATTTCTATCCCTTGCAAATAAAATGTGCTTTGTACAAAAATATAAGGGTTTTGTTTTTCTCTTTTTTTCAGCTACACTTACAGTCCGATATTTTTCTATATCGCAGGACAGCGTTGCCTATTAGGATCATTTGCTCACATTCGTTGGTAGAAGTTTTCTTCTACAGCAGTTACTTGGGGGGAATAATTATCATAAAAGCAAAATTGGCTATCGATTCCTGCCAGTTGCATATTGCCATGGGCTCTGCCTGGATGGAGTTTGTGTGGCTATAATTCCACAAGATGTTCCACTTTAAAATGGAGCGTTGTTGAACTGAAGCAGACAACTGCTAAAGAAATGTAATATCCTGTGTTCATGTTTCCATTACAAGTGACTGGAGGACAGTGGTAATGATTTCAACACTTCGAGTTTATACAGTGATGGTTTAGATAGAATCTAGTGATACATTATAGATGAGGTAAGCTTATGCTGGCTAGGCTAAGAACAGCATGACTTGTTTCTTTGTATGTGTATATCACTCATAAATCTAAAACTTAGTAAATTGAGAAGTAAATTTTAAGCCTTGATGTCTGTCAAAGAAAACTGTTTTAACCCATCAACATGAAGTACCGTATTTACTAACGTGCGCCTTTTTTGCCAAATTATGTTGCGAAAATTAGCCATTGGGAGGACCAGGCTCAAATTTCTCGCCTCTCGATCCCTCAGCAAACCTTGCTTCTCCCCCTTCTCTATTCCCCCTCCACTCTCTCCCCTGGAGGACTGGTGAGAATTGTTGTTGGAAAAGACCAAAGTGAACTGCCCTGAGACCTTTGGGAATAATAATAATAATAATAATAATAGGATTTTGTCTCATGGGTAGTGTAAGGATAAGCAGTTCTGTGGACTGTGATTTTGAGTCTGAGTTCCACCAAGTTCCACACTTGGACCCCTTCAGTCTGTTTCTGATGCCTCAATTTCTGATGCCAAGATGCTTCTGCTTTAAAGCTGTTTAGGGCACAGAAATTCTACTGTATAGGAAATAGCTGCAAGAACTCATATGCATACCTGTCTGTGATTGAGGTGTATTTGCGTGGATACATTTGATAAGTATTGAAGTTTGATCTTGGTTGACTGTTTCCACTAGAGAGTTAATGCAAGAGAATAAATTATGTAAAGCTCATCTGAAAACTAGTGAATGAAACTTTACAAAAGATAACTTTAAGAATATCAGATTTTAGATTAGGTTACTGATAAGACTTGCAATTTTAATATACCTAAACTGAAATAATTAATGGTTAATATTGAGCATACTTCCCTTCTTCTGCACTATCTCACTCCCTCTTCAGCTCCTTGTATCCCATCAGTTGCTCTGGAGGGTTGACAGACCTCCATAGCAGATTTAGAAAGGGGAGGGGCTGACAGTGTTTGAAATTAGCCAGGTGCCAGGTGTGTTTTACTACTGGCATGAGTCCAGTTGTGACATTGGAGATTTATGGGTACCCGGTTGGCAATCACAGTTCAAAAACCTCTGCCTTACTCGATAGTTAATACTGTTTCCACCGTGTGTGTTTCTCCCTGCATACAGGGACAAGTGAATTATTGTAAGAGCAATATATCTCTGTATTTCTATAGTCAAGCAATGTAGTTGAGATCATAGAACATAGGGACCCCAAGAGTTATTTAGTCCTGGCAAATAGACATTCTGATGTGGTGACCACAACCTAGATTCAAGGTGCCATTATGCGCCTAGCTTGTATACCTGAGTTTCTAACACAGGGGACTGAAGAGGGGAAGCCCCTTGCACTTGCTCTCATGATCTTGATTGTGGTAGTACTTTATGCAAAAATACTAGGAGATGAGCACAGCAAATTAAACTTAAAATAGAAACTTAAAATTTCTATTTAAGTTTTTCTGAAACATTTCTGAAATATAATGTTTATCTGGTATAGGTAATTAAAGCAAATTAATGTTTAAGTCAAGAAGTAATATGTATTGCATATGGAAAGCGACTTTTAAATCAAGGATACCTTTGTGTTATATGCCTTTGAGCTGTTCTGAATGGATTTGCACAGTGAAATTTCCTTGCAGTAGCTATTTCCATTTATTATTGAGTGTGAAGAAATGAGAGCTGTCCAGAAGAAAAACATTTCAATGCTTTAGAGAGATAAGGATTGTTTCTGGTAGTTATGTGCAGTTTTCATGTGAAATGGCTAAATAAATAAATATGCCCGAGCAACAGTTTAGAGGTTGAATAGTCAAGGACAAATTCCATTACCTTTCATTAAGAAGAAAAATGTGAAGCTGCCAGAAACCTGGTTTAGTTCAACCCTTAAACCATAGCAACAGCTGCTTCTCCTATTCTAACTCCCCGCCCTTCCCCAAAGTAGAAACATTTAATATAGTTTCTTTAAAAACACTGAAGATGTAGTTGTGCTCAAATTTATGTTTCCATAGTTGTCTGAACTATGGAACTGGGTCGTGGTTTCAAGCCCCATGTTGGGCAAAAGATCCTTGCCTGGCAGGGGGCTGGACCAGAAGACCCTTGCAGTCTACAAGCTCTACAAGCCTATGATTCTATGTCTTTGAGAGTGTGAGCTTTCAGAGTGGAAGCTTGCTGCTCATACACTAAGGTTCTGAATCTGGCAGCTCCCAGTACTTTATAAGTAGAAATATAAAAATATAGTAAGCAAATTAAATTTATAACTTGACCTGTTGATTCAAGTGGGTCATATAAACAGGCTACATGTATGCGAGAAGTGTATTCCAATTCTGAACCACATAATTCAAAAATCACTATATGAGGTGTGGAATAGATATAAGAATTTATTAGAATGCCAAACACCATGGTGGCTGTCCCCGTTAGAGGCTACAACTGTAAAAAAGTTAAATATGGGGGGGGGACTGGGCCACTTATGGTGATTTGCTGATTGAAAGAGATAATCAGTGGAAATTAAGACCATATGAGGAAATAAAAAAATTGGTAAATGATTGGTTGCATTATCATCAAATAAATGAAATGTTTAGAGAGGACAAAAAGAAAAATGGATTTGAATATACAATATCCAGGTTTGAATTAGATTTATTGAGTAATAAAGTAAAAGTATTGTCAAAGATAATAATAATAATAATAATAATAATAAATTTTATTTATATCCCGCCCTCCCCAGCCAAAGCCAGGCTCAGGGCGGCTAACAACAAATAAATAATCAAACAATTAAATAGTCCAACATTCTAAAACATTTCATTATAAAAATTAATTAAAATCAAATTAATGGCAACCGTTGAGCAAAGTTCTGTGTAGGTTGCCGGAGGTGGGAGTCAGGCTGGGCCCTGACCAAAGGCCTGGTGGAACAACTCTGTCTTGCAGGCCTTGCGGAAAGATGTCAGGTCCCGCAGGGCCCTAGTCTCTTGTGACAGAGCGTTCCACCAGATTGGAGCCGCAGCCGAGAAAGCCCTGGCTCTAGTTGAGGCCAGCCTAACCTCTCTGAGGCCTGGGACCTTCAGGATGTTTTTATTTGCAGACCGTAGGTTCCTCTGTGGGGCATACCAGGAGAGGCGGTCCCGTAGGTACGAGGGTCCTAGGCCGTATAGGGCTTTAAAGGTTAAAACCAGCACCTTAAACCTGATCCTGTACTCCACCGGGAGCCAGTGCAGCTGGTATAGTACCGGATGAATGTGATCTCGCAGCGAAGACCCCATAAGGAGTCTCGCCGCGGCATTCTGCACCCGCTGGAGTTTCTGGGTCAGTCTCAAGGGCAGCCCCACGTAGAGCGAGTTACAATAATCCAGTCTGGAGGTGACCGTCGCGTGGATCACAGTGGCTAGGTCAGGGCGAGAGAGATAAGGGGCCAACTGCTTAGCTTGGCGGAGATGAAAAAATGCCGCCTTTGTTATAGCTGTAATCTGCGCCTCCATAGAGAGGAGGTATCGAAGATTACACCCAAACTCTTAACGGACGGTGCTGGCACTAATTGCACCCCCGCAAGAGATGGGAGTTGCCCCCAATCCCATATCGTCCCGTCCCAGCCAGAGGACCTCTGTCTTCGAAGGATTTAACTTCAACCGGCTTCCGCGTAACCATCCAGCCACAGCTTCCAAACATCTGGTCAGTGTGTCTGGGGCCGAGTCAGGATGGCCATCCATCAACAGATAGAGTTGGGTGTCATCGGCATACTGATGGCAACCCAGCCCAAAACTCCGGACAAGCTGGGCGGGCGCATAAAGATGTTAAAAGCATCGGGAGAGTATTGCACCCTGAGGCACTCCACACACCAAGGAGTGGCGGGATGACAATTCCCCCCCAAGCGCCACCCTCTGTCCCCGACCGGAGAGAAACGAGCGCAGCCATTGAAGGACTGTGCCCTGGATCCCCACGTCGGCAAGGCGGTGGTCCAGGAGTTCGTGATCAACCATGTCGAAGGCTGCTGACAGATCTAGAAGAATCAGCAGCCCCGACCCGCCTCGATCCAGCTGCCTACGGAGATCATCTGTTAGGGCGACCAGAGCCGTCTCGGTCCCATGACCAGCGCGGAAGCCAGACTGGAATGGATCTAGATGCATAAGCTACCATATTTTTCGCCCTATAAGGCGCACTGGCCCATAGGACGCACCTCGTTTTTTGGGGGGGGAATGAATTAAAAAAATTTATCCCCCCCCCCCTGCCGCAGGGCTGGGGCAGGGGAAGCCCGAGCTTCCCCCGACCCCAGCCCCCAGAACAGGCTGCCGCCCCAAGCCTTGCGCGCCCGGCGGGACATTCTGCTGGGCGCGCAAGGCTTGCGGACACCTGCCCGAAGCACGGGGCGTCCTCCGGAGGGCGCTTCGGGCTGCTGGCTGCCGCCCCAAGCCTCGGCTTGCGGATAGCTTCCTGAAGCGCGGAGAGCGAGAGGGGTCGGTGCGCACCGACGCCTCTCGCTCTCCACGCTTCAGCGAAAGCCTGCATTCGCCCCATAGGACGCACACACATTTCCCCTTCATTTTTGGAGGGGAAAAAGTGCGTCGTATAGGGCGAAAAATACGGTACTTCTGGATTGGCATGTAAAAGATGAAGAGGTTAAATCTGTTATGATTCATTGGGCAAAAGATATTGGTTATAATATACAGTTAGAAGATTGGGTAAGATTATGGAAAGAGGGAATAAATTTTACGGCCTGAGTTCGCTTAAAGAAAATGTAATGAAAATGATGTACAGATGGTATATAATGCCAGTAAAATTAGCAAAAATGTATAGAACAAATAATGTTGTAAATGTAAAGAAAAAGAAGGTACCTTTTATCATATGTGGTGGGTTTGTAAGAAAGTAAAGGCGTTTTGGGAAATGATATATAATGAACTTTAAAAAATGTTGAAATATACATTTACAAAAAAAGGAAGCCTTTCTATGAGGTATCATAGGAAGAGAAATTTGTAAGCAGAGTAAAACATTGTTTTTATATGCAACAACTGCAGCGAGAATACTATTAGCCCAAGGATGGAAGCAAGAAGAATTACCAACCAAAGAAGAGTGGCAGATGAAATTATTAGACTATGCCAAATTGGCAAAATTGACTGGGAAAATTCAGAACCAGCAGGACCAGACTTTCCTGAAAGACTGGAATAAATTTATGTTGTATTTGAAAGACAGCTGTCAACAATTGACATCGTTAGTAGGGTTACAAGAAGTTTTGTAAGGATAAATTATCATTTATTATTAAGATTGGTTTAATTTTTAAAATAAAAGTAGATTTAATAATAATAAAATACAATTAAATGCAGGATTAGAAAATAAGCTTGAAAACCATTCCCGTGGGGGGGGGGGGGGAGTCTCAGGCTTATGTAGCCCAATGAATGAATGAATTTATTAATACGGTCACAGACCAGCGTCAACACACACAATATCACAGATCATTAAAAAATAAAATAAAATAAAATCAGAAATACAGAGGACAATATGAGTATAACAAGGATTTAAATATAAAAAATTAAAATTAATTATTAGCGTGCCCCCTGTAATTAACATTTGGGGGTTTGGTCATTATGGGATACCACTTGCTTCCTGCGATTAATTGCAGACGCACAGAATTTGGCTACATTTGATGTAGTCTTGGGATTCTTGTCCTCTAGCAGTAGTTTTAAACTATGGTGTTCCGATTCTTTCCTGGACTTTTGCAAAACAGGTGTAATAAAAGTCAAACGTATATCCTCATAAAGACGACAACGTAATAGTACATGTGAAGCAGTTTCAACTTCCAACGAGCCACAGGGGCAAACCCGTGCTGTGTATGGTTTACCCTCAAATCTGCCCTGATGGCGGCTAGGGAGCGGCAGCCTCACGCTGCTCTCTGAGGTTGCAGACAGTTACAGCTTAATATTGCCAAATGTTTATGGTGTTACATAATAATGTTGTTGTGTTTGAAAAAATGTAAAAACCAATAAAAAATATTATATAAAAAGAAGTGTATTCCAAAATCCAAGAAGTCTATTATAGTATTGAGATGAGGGTAGGGATGAAGGGGGGTTGGAGAAGAATTTCACTTGTGATCATGTTTAGCTCTTGGCTTTTGAAGGCATATGAGTAAACTTGTTTACAAGTAGCTTTCACTTCAAAGACAGGCACTTTTGTTGTTATGAGTAATTGTAATGCTTATTACATAACTCCTGTAAGGAAAACATTTGAACAAGTAGAAAAAGATGGGGGGTTTACTTTAAGTTGTGAGTTTGCTTTAGCTCTATTATAGATGCATCTTTTGCTGACTTAGTATATGAAATTTTCTGCAGGTTGAATTATTATTGGATGAAGTCATTAATAATAAGAAACTCTGATTAACATTAATATATTTGGGGCTAGAGATTCAAGTTAACCATGTTTAAATAGCATAACTCAGTGAATTCCAAGAGAACTCTAGTGTTTCAAAGCATTTCTGAGGAGAACACAAAATTACAACATTCAGGAGTCCTGGGTCATTGTGACTTGCAGAACTGGGCAGGGTGGTTTGAATTTTAAACGGTTTTTCTTTGTCCTTTGTATACATTTTATTTGTCAAGGGGTTGGCTCTAGTACTGAAAGTATATTAAATGCTTTGAAATGAAATGTGGTGCATACTCACTAGAAATCCTTTGTACAGACAACATATTGCACTAATTGTCATAATTGGCAGGAGAAGGGAGTACTCCTGCTCTACATGTTTTCATTATCTGAATGAGGCATACCAATGATTTTTTACTGCTGTTACAGTAACCTTATTAAGTAAGAAGGACATGGGGAATGAGTTGCTTTTGTGTGTGTGTGTGTGTGTGTGTGTGTGTGTGTATATATATATATACACACTATATATATAAACTTTTTAGGCTTCATAGTCAAAAGTAACACCACAGATCTATTGTTGTCAGTGCACACTTCTAAGGAAGGGCTTCAGCTGTGGTATCCTCCAGAAGGTCTGGCTTATTGTTAGCTTGCAAACACAGTCAGTGACAAGAACCTGGGAGAGAAGGATGGAATGTTAGGAAACAAATATGTGTATACTGTAATATAAAAATTAAGTAACTTCTGCTTTAACAGGTTAGGGCAAAACAATATGGCAGCCTTGTTTACTTTCTTACAAAATTCTCATTTTTAACACCATGTACTTCAACATTATTTCTGTATGAGCCATGTGTGCTGCTCCAGCAGTAGTAAAAACAATCTGGGCTTCTGTTGCATGTATCTTGACTTTTTCCAGCTTCAGCAGGAGCGTGCCTGCCATTATAGGCAAAGCACTACCACCCATGTGTACAAGGAAGGCAGTGGCAAAACTATAAACTTCACTGAGTGCAAATATATTATCTTTGCACAGTAAAGGTTGAACTGAAGCTAATAGTGGATAACACTTTGGATCTGTTGTAGCTTTAATTTTATCTGTCGTTGCAGGTTGGGCTGAGATATTAGTATACAACAACTTGCAGTACACTTGGCTGAACTGAGAGATAATAGCTTGTAGTAGTAGTTGTTGTTGTTTAGTCGTGTCCGACTCTTCGTGACCCCATGGAACAGAGCGCGCCAGGCACTCCTGTCTTCCACTGCCTCCCGCAGTTTGGTCAAACTCATCTTAGCTTTGAGAACACTGTCCAACCATCTCGTCTTCTGTTGTCCCCTTCTCCTTGTGCCCTCAAACTTTCCCAACATCAGGGTCTTTCCCAGGGAGTCTTCTCTTCTCATGAGGTGACCAAAGTATTGGAGCCTCAGCTTCAGGATCTGTCCTTCCAGTGAGCACTCAGGGCTAATTTCCTTAAGAGTGGGTATGTTTGATCTTCTTGCAGTCCATGGGACTCTCAAGAGTCTCCTCCAGCACCATAATTCAAAAGCATCAATTCTTTGGCGATCAGTAGTCACTGTAATACTGCTGGTCAGATGTGAGGCTACCAAAAATACCCCTTATCTCTTGGGTTGCAGTAAAGATCAGTCTACTTAAATTGTCCCCTTAGGCTTCCTCCCAGATCAAAACAAGCACTCAGTTAGTTGTATTCAGAAGCCGCAAGTGCCATTAACTTGCATGCAGAATGGTTGCAATTTTTAGTCTTCAAACATTTGGCACATGAAGTAAGACCCAAGTGTGTCTTTGTTGGTAACTTATGTTTTCCCCCAACCCTCTCAGCCACGGATTCAGCACACACCAGGAATATACTGCAACACTTTGACCCACCTGTAGTATCATAAGTCTTTGAATATTATAAATAAAAAAATTGAATGAAACCTATTGTAGGTGGCTTATCTGTGAATTGATAAATTATGTCCCATGTAGTTAGGGCAAGTCACATGCCAATGGAATTTGTGGTTCATCAATAGGAAATTTGGGGCAGAGGCATGTTCTTTTAATAGCGTCTTCAGACTGGATGTTAAGATGAACAATTAAAGTGAAGTGTTTATTCCATATTGTAAAATACAGTAAATTGTTTCCAGGTTTCTCTTATGTTATAGTTGACAGCATTTTGAACTTAGCATGTTGAAGTAATTTCCCCCTTTTTTCTTGTAGGTGCAAAGTAACCTTCATAAAAGACTGAACCATGGAACCAGATATCATCCGAATGTATTCTTCATCACCACCACCACTAGATAATGGAGCAGAGGAGGAGGATGAAGATGAGTTTGGTGATTTTGGTGGGTTTTCCGATGCTGGAAGTACTGGAGCCTTTGACTTTGCATCAGATTACTCCAGTTCAAAGGAAGAACATAAACCTTCATGTAACTCTGATTACTCAGGCAGTGTAGATGGCATTATAGCTTTTACTACTGTTAAAGAGTTTCCTCTTGATAGTAACAAAGAAAAATGTGAGTGTAGAAGTTTGGGTACTTCACTTGATGATATTTATACAGAAGAAGTTAAGAGAACTGGAAAATTAGAGTCGTCATACTCTGAAATTATTAGAACTGATATGAAGGTTCCAAGTCAGGACCACCAAGTAGACAGCTGTAATGGTGAGAAACAGCCATGTCCAGAAGTTCTAACAAATGGGTTTGCAGCACTGGACACGGCAAATTCTCAGGAAGCTGAAGATACAGATGGTATCAGTGACTCAAAGGGATTAAAAATAATTAGCACTAATAGCTCTGAATTAAGTTTGGAGTCTATACCCACCACAGCAGAGGATTTTGCAGACTTTGCCACGTTCTCAAATAAACAAACAAGCCTGGCTGATGAAACAGGAAATAAAATATGCACAAATTCTAGTGAAAAGGAAGTGTTTTGTGTACAGGAAAGCAATATTATAAATGGTGAGGGGGAATCTATGAAGAAAGCAACTTCAGCTCGAAGCTGTGAATATGGACAGATTTGCATTTCAAAAATTAATTTAGCGAACAATGAAGACTTCAAGGCTAAAGAGGACTGCACATCACTAGAACACAATGCCTTTATTTCTTCCATACACACAACTGTGAATTCAGTAGGCACAACTGAAAGTATTGGAGGAAGAGAGGAGTGTGACACTGGAAATAGTAAAGAACATACCTTTTTAAGGACCAATGATAATGCAGATACATTAAGCCTTAATGTAGTTGGAGTTCAAAGTCTTGGCTCTCATCCTACAGAAGAGAACATATATGATTCTGAAATAGTTAAGAATGGTGAAAGTGACATTGGGCATGCATCATGCAGTGGTTTAAATGAAGATGATTTTGGTGACTTTGGCACAGTCAGCAATGGATCCCTTGCTTTTACTCAAGTTTCAGCCAGCCAAGAACACTTTCAAAACCCTTCTGAAGACATCAGTAAAAGAAGTAATGCATGTGGTGACTTCACAGATAGAAGTGATGTTCATCAGCGATCATCAAAGGGAACTCCTCAATCAAAAGAGATTTCAAACAAGGATGAATGTTGCACAGATGATGCTGGTTCTAGCATGACAGTTCAGCCTCTTGCAGAATTGGAAAATGGAAATGACAGTGAGTTTGGAGACTTTGGCTTAGGGGTGAAAAGGTTTCCAGACTCTGATGAGTTTTCAGCCTTCAGTTCTGCTGGTTGTAACCAAGCTACAGAGTGGAATGCTTTTGAGGCTGAGCAAAAAGAGAGCTGCTTGTGGGCTGCTTTTGAAGATGAGCAGGTGGTGGAACCTCATCCCATAAAAGATGTGTGGCCATCAGATAGGACAGGCACAACTTTTGATGATGAAGATTCAGTGACTCATACACCTAACAGTGTTTCTGTAGCATCTTTGCATGGAACCAGTAGTGGGAAGTTGCAGGACTTGCCGGCTTCAGCTCGGGTAACTACCACACTTTGCTACTGATGCTTATGATTTGCTTTTACAATTTGCTTTATTATGTAAAATGCACACACTTCATTTTACCTCTTACTTTTGCATTCCAATACGATGCATGTTTACGTGGGCGTCAGTCCTTCCAGCAAAATTCCCTTTAAGCTTGAGGCTCTTTGAAAGTGCCTCAGCATGCACATGCATTGAGCAGGGGGATGTTGCCTATTTTCCTTTCCAGCTGCAATTCCTCACAGGGCAACAAATGCCTCTTAAGCAGAAAAGCTATTTTCTGCATTAACTCTGGTGAACCCCACAACCTCAGAAGCAGCTCTAGGGGTGGAGCATAAAGTCCAGCAGAAGGAGAGGGGCTGGTGTGGGAAACCTAGCGGGTCCACTTTGAATCATAACTACTATGTTGAGTTGGTTTACTCCCAGATTGGACCACTACTGTAATTTTCCAAGAGCACTTATTTTAGGTATTCTTGGGAACACATGTAGCACAGGTGATAAATCTTTGTGGTCCTGTTGTATGCATTAAATAATTAGAATTTTGGGTGGCAAAGACAGTTTCAGCCCAGTTGGACTTTCTGTGCTGTTGGTGCAACACACACATACAAAGCTTCTTGCAGTTCCAACTGCTCTGGAACCAGACAATCCTCCTCATTTGACGGAAGAACATTTGTTAATTTGTGATTTACTTTTTTGTCATATACAGATAAGAATGCTCTTTCATTTTAAAAACTAGCCAAGTTTTGAAAGCATAGCTGATAGAGGTTATGCAGCTTAAAGTTTAATCAAGCGTCTACATGAGAGCCATTCAAGGTAGAAGCAAGTTATAGAACTGAATCTGAAGAGAAAATTGGATTAAGTTTGTGTTGAGCTCAAGAGACATTGTGAATAGGAAAAGTGCTGGCTACAAGTGCAAAGTTTTCCACAAAAGTTTGGATTTAGGGTCACTTTTCTCTCAAAAACCAGTAGTAGAAGAGGTTTTCTGCTAATGGGATGCACATTTTGGATCCAAGCCGTTTTAATGGGAATTTCAATTTTCATGTATTCCATTAGCATAGTAATATAGGCACCTTTGTACATAATTTATATAGCTGAAAGTCGTGTTTCAGAAATGAAAGACTGTCACACACACACACACCCTCATGGTAGCTGCAGAAATCACTGAGGTCTCCTTGCTCACCAGTTGAGTATTTCTGCTGCTATATGTAGCATGAAGGTTTTGATATATAAAGCCTTAAACAGCTCAATACCTAAAGGAGTTCATCTCCCCGTATGAGCTAACCCAGATCCTGCAATCATCATCTGAAGCCCTTCTTGGTGTGTTCCCTCCCCAAGAGTTCCAGAGGGTGACAACATGAAAATGGGCCTTTTCTGTAATGACTCCCTATTTGCAGAATGCTCTCCCCCAAGGAGGCTCACCAGCTTCTTCATTGCATACCCTTAGGCTCCATGTGAAAACATTACTTTTCACCCAGAGCTTTGGCTAATTAAACAATCTTTGGTGTTTAACTGTTGTGGGGGGCCAGGAGTTATTGTTTTGTTTCTTATTATGCTAAGTTTTTTTAATAAAAATACTGTAAACTGCCCTGTGATCCTTGGATGTAGGGTGGTATATAAATTTAATTAATAATAATAAGCAGAAGTTGCTGGCAATGAGTAGAAAGTTTCATCCAGCTGAATATGACTCTGAATGTTGGCAGGGAGCCAACAGATATACATGATATGATTTCAACCAAATCTGTGAATTGGCATTTGAGACCAGATCATATTTCACTACAGCTGGCTGGCCACCTCTTCATATCATTGGTTTTAAATTCCTCCTTGCAAAGGCATCAGAGCAATTTTAAATTAAAACCTCAGTTTTTGATCAATAGTGTTAAAAATACAGTAGGCCTTCTGTTTGGTTATCCTGACAAATAGGTCAATGGATAGTGGATGCAGGAAGTCTGAAATGTTTACCATTCAATTAGATTTAAATTAATCCAAATGATGAATGTAATTTATTTTTACTTATTAAAACATCTATATGCTGCTTTCAGAAATATCTGAAGTTGTTTACATAAGAAAAATGACAATTTGCTAAGCTGACTGGGGTGATGGGGATTATAGTCCAACAACATCTGGGGATCCAAGTTTGAAGACTTCAGTGCAAGAGGTTACTTACTTTTAGGCAAAAGATAGACAGCTTCTTTATATTTTTTATATTCACTTATATAAATGGAGTTTTATGCTGGAACCATAATTATAATGATTGAGTAATGCTAATCTGAGAGAAATGTTTAACTCTGTATCATATTTATCAGCTTCTTTGCTGGTAGCTGTTCCCCTGATCAAAAGCAACCCATGGCAGGAAAACAGTATGTTTTTAGCAGCGTCATTATGACTAACCAGGAAGTAGAAACACAGAAAAATTCTGTGCTATCACAAAATTCTCAGAGCATTTGATGCTAAAAAGAGAAGGAACCCATTCTAACCTTGTGATATAGTCTCCAGTTCATTAATTCTTTTGCAAATGGGCCTTGACTGATTTTTTCCCCTCCAGTTCTGCCGAAAGTAATGCCATTTCTAATATAATCAGGTGTTAATTGAGCTTTAAGAGAAGATCCATAACTTAAAATAAGTTTTCATACCTCAGCTATGTTAGCATATAGAGTTTATATGTAGCTGCCAAATTAAACTTTAGTTAAATAAATCTTTGCTTAGGCACAACTTTCATTGAAAAGTATTCAGACTGAGACTTGGTATAAAATAGTTCTCAGCAGTGTTAAAAACTCCCTTTGTTCTAGACGCATTTTGTAACAGGGAATTTCATTAGCGGGTGCAGTTTCCGAGCACTGAGCGCAGTACTGTGCCTAAGATTTCAGTTTAAAACTGCAGGGTGGAAGGAAGGGAGGAACCTTTTCTGCCTCCCAACTTCCAGCTCCTTTCTGAAGACCCTCTTAAGAATACTAGGGGGTGATCAGGGGAAGGACTAGACCATGCGAAAAATGAACATAATATTTTAGTTGCAGTTCATTCATTTTCAGCTTTGTATTCTTGTTATAAAAAAGCGTGCCTAGACATTCCATTGTTCCACCCATAACCTAGGTTTAAGGTGCCATTTAGCTCCTAGTTTTCATATCTTAGTTTCTTACGCTGGTTCTCAGACCTCTCAACTCAAGAGCTAGAATAAAATATATGAGGAGGAGTAGGAAATTGTAAAAAGGATGCAACCTAAGACATAGCAGTCTAAACTTCAAAGAGAGAGGGAGGTCAGCATAGAGAGAAAGACACAGGGATAGTGTGAGAAGCTGGTGGTCCCTTACTCTATCTGTCTTAATCCATGCAAACTGCTCTCAAAAACCTGAGTTGCATCTAAACTTCCAACAAGTTAAAGTGTTTTGTGTTTATCTGTTGCTTACCGTATTTTTCGCTCCATAAGACGCACTTTTTTCCTCTTAAAAACTATGGGGAAATGTCTGTGCGTCTTATGGAGCGAATGTGTGGGGGCTGGGGGGGGACACCCGGGCTTCCCCCGCAAGCTCCGAGAGCAGAGGCAAGGCTGCACGCAACCTTGCCGCCGCTCCCCGACCTGTTCTGGGGTCGGGGGAAGCTTGGGCTTCCCCTGCCCCCAGCCCCACAAGCTCCAGGAGCACCCCCGGACCTGTTCTGGGGGCTAAAAATCAAGCCAGCTGCCTTGGCTTCTTTGCTCTTTGGGGCTGGGGGGGGGGACGGGCTTCCCCTGACAGCCCCAGAAGCTCTTAATAAGACTTTTTTCCCCCTTGATTTCCCCCCCTAAAAACTAGGTGCGCCTTATGATCCGGTGCGCCTTAGGAGCAAAAAATACGGTAACTGAGTTCTGTGGGTATAGTTCTATGCCATTTAGTACTAATCAATAAAATAAGTCCCATTTATCACTGTCAATTTATTTTTATACCACATTTTCCAGAAGTAAATCTGTCCTAAAAACCGTTCACACAAAAATTAAAGTCTTAATGCAGTAATACAATAATAACAATACATAATAAGATATACAGTATCACTGCAACAGAACACTACATAATTAATTACCAACAGTTTACAGTTCATTTAACACACACAAAAATTAAGAAAGTCCTGTATACAGCTTGCCAGTAAGTCAAGTCAAAGTACCCATTAAGCCAGAGGTTCCCAACCTTTTTGGTACAGTGGCCCACATGTCCAAATTTACTCAGTATGATGACCCATTGCTTTCCTGAATTTTGGGCTTCCAGAACTCCTCATATCGTAGTCAGTTTTAAAATTGCTCCCCATCCTCCTCCTTCCTGTGCCCCATCCCCCTTGAATTTGCTATTAACTTTTTATTTGAGGGGTTTAATTTTAAAAAGTTAATAAAAATTTAAAATACATAAAAAATTTAAGTGTTTATTTTACAGGTGTTGTTTTATACTTGGAGTTTTTAAGAATTAAAACCAAGGTGGTGGGGCATAAGACAAAATTAAGAGAGAGCAGTAATTGCTGCTGCTTCCCCCTTGCTGCAAAAATCCAAACCCACCTCATGCTTACTATGGGAGGTCAACTATGTCCTGCTGTTCCTCATTGTAGAGCTCAAACAATATAAATTTTCTATACAGACACCCACACTTCTTTCTGCTACTTTCTAATAACGGGAAGCATTCCCTTGTACTAGGAAAATATAAAAGGTGGCCACATTACTCTTGCATGCAAATAGAGCACACACATGCACTCCCCATATGCATACAGACAACAGACACACATACCCCCCTCTTTCATATGTTTCTATATATACATCACATACACAGAAGCACATACAGTATATGCCTCCCTCTCTGCCCATGTGCATACATACCCCCCCACACACCACACAAACCTCTCCTTCTCTGCCCAAGTGCATCTCTTGTCCCCACCACACTCACATACATACACATCCCTTTCTTTCACATGCACACACGCACCACCAATATGTATCTCACCAACAATTGTGCATACATTCTGTTCTCAATCACAAACACACATTGCTTGAGGGGGAAAAAACCCAACCCTGTCAGAAAAGGGGCAAAGGGAGCTCCTGCCACCAGCTGCACCTGGCTGGCAGCAGCAACATCCTGAGCATGCGGGGAAAGCCTCACCACTCTTTTCCGCCCCAGCCTTCCTTTAAAAAAGTAAGTGGCTGGCAGGCAGCAGTGGCATGAACAAAGATGACAGTGCTCCTCATTGGAGCATTCTGACAGGGCAGAAGCACTGAAACCTGCATCCGATTTGCACTTGCAACCTACTTGCAGGCCATGACCCTTCAGCAACCTAAAGCTGTTCTCTGCGTGTAGATCCTGAATGGTCAGGTTGATCACTCCCCCACCAACATACCATAAGGGACAAAGATGCCTTGGTATGGGCTGGCCTTGCTTAACAGCAACGGGTTGTAGGCATGCTTCCTCCCCTCTTTAACAGTTCTGGTCACCAATTTTGGGACAGGGGTGACCCAATTTTATTTTTCTTCTTTCAAAGCAATTGATCAGCTGCTGTCAAATCTGAGAATCAACTTCATGTGGCTATCCCATATTGTATTGGGACACTGAAGTTACTGAAGGGCTGCTGAGACGTGATGTTTTCAAGCAGTGTGAAATGCTGTTTATATACTACTTTAGACAGTTGTGTGCAAATAGGAACTGTGATCGTCACTGAGAGAACTGATGAAAGTCAGTGCTGACATGGTGACTGTATGACATCCATGTTCTGAGCAAAATGTAGTGCCTCACAGAGCATGCCAGCTGCTTTCTCTCAGGCATACATAGTTGTTCTTTACCAATAGTTACTGTAGTGTAAAGCATTCAGAACAGTGAACTTGTGATTGCTTTCTGTTATGCTTATTCAGTGCACAGTGTGATCATCTATGAAAATTTGGCCATTGCACAGTGCATGTTTGAAGTTTGCTGCTTTGACACAAAAGCTAGATGGGATTCTTAAAAGCAAAATAAAAATCTTAATGTGGAATCTTTAAAGGGTAACTTTGTGGCATTGTATTTCCAATTAAGTGGTTAAAGTTATCAGCCCTTCTAAAGATATTGATATGATTTTTCTCTTTGAAACTCAATGCATTTTCATCTTTAACCTCTCCCCACAGACATAGCGTGATTTCATGAGCAAAGGATGTTTGTATGTCCCCATATCTGACTGAAGTGTTGAGGCCAACAACTCTCCTGAAATCAATTTAAGGCAGGAGTAAAAACAGGAAAGAGGCAAAGCACAAAGGCTGCTGAGATTGTTGTTATTATTATTATTGTTGTTATTATTATTATTATTATTATTATTATTAATTATTTCTATTATTATTTCAATACAGCTTTATATTTTATAGAACAAATCTAAAAGCAGTTTACAACACATTAAAACATCAAATACAACAATCTAGGAAAAAAACGAATCCAAGCTTCATAAACTAATTTTAGTGCAAGTTGATTATGTGGAAATTGAAAGTGTAGTTAACACTCACAGGCATCCACAGAACTTGAATGGCCAAAGTCATTGAGCAAAAATTTGTGTTTGGCAGGATCCTGTGTGTCTCCTTGGCCTTCACTTTGCAGTTCATATCTGCGCCAGGATAGGGGACGGTGCCCTTCTCAACTCCGATTTGGGAGTTGGAAAAGGGAGCACGGAACTTCTACAAAGTATGGGAACTCACTTGCACAACTCTCTAGCTTGAAATGTAGAGGGAGAGATTGCTTTGGTGCTGAGCTGCCACCCCAACAGGGGTGTCTTCACAGCACCAAAAGGGAATCTTCATTCTTCATTCCAGAGATGAGTTGCACCTCCAGACTGGAGAAAGAAACGGGGGTTTGTCTAGTTGCCCTCACCAGAGAGCAATAGGGCACTTGTGAGTGGAATTGAGGCCCACTGATTAGTTATTTCCCAAAGCTATATCCATTTATTTGCTTGCTTGCTTGCTTTGTTTGATCTGTGCTTAGGAAATAATATCTAAAGTTTGTAATTTCATATTCCCCTGACTTTTAAAAGCAGTAATTTGCATAATTTTCAACAAGTTGGTTTTGTCTGTTCTGATGCAGACAAAGCTGCTAAGTCGTCTAGAACGAATATTTGAAGCCTGTTTTCCTCCTGTAACTGTCTCTGAAATGGAAGAAGAGATTGCTCCTTTAAATCTCTTGTTGGAAATGGGTAATAAACCTGGGAGGACAGAGGAGACCCTGTCACAAAGGTATGGACCATTTTTAAATGTGATACATACACAGAAGCATGCAAGCTTTCAGTGATGTTTTCTGAGGGTGTATAGCAGTAATCTTCTAATGGCTGCAAACATCAATGGATTTTTAGTTACTGCTTGCATTTTGTTTTCTTTTAAAACGCATAGTTAGTTTTTAGTGACTGCTTTTGCTGCCATAGAATAATCTACTTGGTGGGTTTTTGTTGTACTTTAAGTGATGTGCAAATGAGGTAGTTAAATAGGATGTGGCTTATTACTTACAGTTATATTATTTATTAATATGTTGAATTCCAAGTAGACGACATTCTGTTTGCTACAGACATCGTTTTCTAATTATAAGTTAGAAAAATAATTGTTCTGAGAACCTTATACCACTGTTATCTCCCTAGAGGTTTGGTGTTTGGGCTTGTGTTTAATGGGAATGTTGTTATATGCCAGTCATTTAAAGATGCGGAATGAAGTGGTTAAAGCTGCTGAGTTCTAGCATTTTCCCCTCTTCACTGTTTCACTTGATGTATAACTGACTATGTAGGGAACTGCTAGATGTGTGGACAGAGCTTCAGGATATCCACGATGCATATGGACTGAAATATCAGTGGGGTGGCTCCCTCAGCAACAAAAAACTCCTCTGCTCTCTGGGAATCGACACAAGAAACATCGTGAGTTATCCGCAAAGCCAACTAACCAGCAATTTCTTCCATTCTGTTGGTACACAAAATAAGTGTGCGATATTATACCTAAGAATGTTGTTGTTTATATTAAAATGTATTTATTCTATCAGTTGCCCAAAATCTGTTACTCTTGTGTGACATACAAAAATGACAAACAATTTAAAATTGTCCATGTAATTTTATATAGTTGCAATGATGCTAAAACAATCATTTCTAAATTTTCTAAATAAGTCTAAAAATCATGACAAGCAGCAATTAATACTAAATGCTGCATCAAATAGTCAGGGACTCTTCAGAGGGGGGTGAGTGGGATTCTGGGGGCAGATGAGGAAGTGATAGTCTCATGTTGTTAGTAGAACACAGCTCACATGACATTGACTGCAACCCAAAGATACTGCATGAAAATAACTAACCATTGACCCAAAAATGAGTTTTGAGGCTAACTGAACTTCACAAATAAAATGTTTCAGTCTAATCAGATGGAAATTTCTTTTGTCTTAGCTCTTTACAGGTAACAAGAAGCAACCTGTTATAGTGCCCATGTATGCAGCAGGATTGGTAAGTTTTTAAACTGTTTTAGGCAGTTTCCTTAGAAAGCCTAGAATTATCTAAACTTTCTTGTCAGAAGTAATTGTAGATTTGGTATAATACCTACAGCATGTTTTATAGTCCATAAAAAGAATGATAAGTATTTCGGTTGTTACTTAACATCTTAGCAAACTAGATAGATCTTAATTTTGTTAAACTATATTTAGAGGCACTAATAGCACACACTTTGACTGTGGCTGGGCAGAAATGGGTAACAAATTCCTTTATGTTCCCTCCCTTATAGTCGCTTTCAACCGTTTGTCCTTTTTTATCTTTTTAAGTTATGTATGGTATAATCGTCTTTTAATTATTAGTTTTTATCCCTTAAGTGTTTTAAGTCTTATGTGTTCAGTTTATCTGTTTGTTTTATCTTACGCTGGTCTGTGACCAAAATAAAGTTTGTACTGATGCTAACAAATTTATAAAATCATTGTACGGCACCCAGTGTTTTCTCTTGGTTTGAAGATCAAATAGTTCTGAACTACAATAAAATCAAAATAGTTCTGTAATACAGTAAATTTGGTTGGAAAATCAAAAAGTTCCATACTCCAGTATTTTGTCCCTAAAACAAATTAAGAGTGGCTTTTTGTCATTTATTTAACATGAATTATAAAAGTAAACTTTAAATATTAATGCTAAGTAGTCAATTAGGGGAATATACAAAAGTGAATCCAGCATTTCTTTGGGGCTTGACTAATTTTTGTTTTTCCTAAAGGGTGGTATTTGAGCAGATTCTGTGATGTCTTAATTTCTAGGGTATGTTAGAGCCTACAAAGGAACCCCTGAAACCAATATCTGCTGCAGAGAAAATAGCTTCCATAGGACAGACTCCACTTGCATCACCAGAGATGAATATATGTACAACTGATCAGTTCCAGGTAAAAAAAAATATTTTTTTGTGGCATTGATTCCACCATTAAAGGGCTGTGGGCATATGCCTGTTCAGAGCTCATTAGTTTGGGGTGGGCGGACTGTTGACAATCTTGACAATTTGTATAGTGCACCAACGTCCCCACTCCACCTTGCCTTGAGGTCTTGCCCTCATGCCGGAAGAGTCTCATAGCTAGATCTCTGGCTGACTGCCAATAGAGAGGAGGCTCACACCTGCAAAAGTCTGTAGTGAGTTCTTCTGCCTCAACACTTTCTAATAATCTATAGCGAATGAGCTGTCCTGACCATACAATATACCTAAATAACAGTTTCCAGTAGATTAAAATGGTTATTTTCCTATACGTCTTCTTACGAATTTGCCCTTTTCAGTTTTAAAGCTGTTGTGATACTTATAGAAAGCACATGCAAAGATTTTAATCCTTTCCCTATTGTTTTTAACCCTCTTGTGCATTTGAAAGAAGTGCCAGAGTTTAAGAAAATAACACTTTCTATCCTTGGATGTTTTTCCCTCTCCTGCAGTTAGATATAGCTTATCTTTCCTAGTCCTGTTAAATTCCAGATGATTGGAAAAAGAACAAGTGATTGGAGGAAGTGATCTATAACTGAGATTTTGAACATAACCAAAAAGTATAATTGATGCCACTTATTTTGTCGGTTTACATCTCTTGTGTTTAAAACCAAAAAAGGGTATCCGAGCAGTAGGACGATCAGACTTGCTTCTTTCTATAGGAGTATGCAAACTACTGAATTTTGCAGAACATTCCTCTAGAGCAGGCCTGCACAGCGTACATGGGCCACATGCAACCCTCCAAAGGATTTTGTGCAGCTTGTGAAAAATGCTTTGTCCATGCCCGCCTGGCCCTAATGGGTTGCTGAGCACTCATCTTGCCCAGCCTCCCTGTTGCCCACCTTACCCCTCTCTCGTCGCAGGCAGCTTGCTCTCTCCCCTTGAGGCGGAGGCGGCTGTGCCTCACGCACCTCGCACTTTCCCATCAAAACCAACCTTCAAGTCTCAAACAGGACCTAGAAAAGCCCCCTTGCTGCACAACACTAGCCCTCCTCGTGAATCCTTCCTGAGCCCCAACGAGGAAGGAAGGAAGGGGGGAAAGTTGGAGGGAAGGCTGCTGAGAGGAAAGCCCTAAATGCAGCCATGTGCTAACCAACAGGAAAACTCCCTGCCCAACTGAGGCCATCCCCTGGGAAACGGCAGCAGTGCTCCCCAAAGGGAGCTTCCTTCTGCCTCCAGATGAGCCCTCCACAGACCTTCCATAAGCACCCTGACAGATCAGCAGGGCGGGGGAGAAACATGGCACCCAAAGGACCCACCACTGGAAGCTGTGAATGCCATGGTGGCCATGCCAAAGAGGAGGCCGCTGAGGGGCACCGAGACATTGAGCCACAAAGAAGGAAAACCTGCGGGCCACTAAACCAACCAGCTGGCAGATTCCCACCTCCCCTCCACAGTTGAGGTTGCCCCCCCCCTCCAAGAAACAACAAGAAGTCCAAGTAGATGAAAAGGGAGGGGGAGAGTTAGAGAGAGATGGAGAGGAGGCAGAGAAAGCAAGAAAAGTACCAACAACGAAGAGAAAAAATACTTTTATTTTGGCCCATACCTACTGCCAAGTTGTGCAGGTCTGCTCTAGAGGTAGGTCTGATAAAATATTGCTATTTTTCATTCCATTCCCATTTGGAACAAACATGACAACAATAATTTTTGCCATGAAACATTAACATAATTTTTTTTTAAAGTCTGATAACTAGAATTAGATCTACATAACAAACTGCTTGACTCACCCTACCTGATCCAAAGCATTGTGTTGAAATTATGCATGATGTATGTGTTTTCTTGCCAGTTTTGGGTATGTTCAGAATATCTAGCGCTGGCACATAAATTCTCCTAGTTGTCACCAAATGTTTCAGGAGATGTGTAAATCGCTGAACAGATTAGATGAATGGGGTGAATAGACTGTGTGCCTCTCAGCAGAGGACATCCATAATAGCAGGTTGGGAAATCTCTTCGTGATTTCTCTGTGTGTATTTCAGTGGCTAGCCCTTTGGTAAGTTAGAGCTCTAGTGTTTTATAATAGTAAACTTCAGAACAAGTTCACATGCAAGTCTTAGAACCTCTCCTATCATAATTGAAAATTTGTGTAGAATGGTCGGTAAATCTCCTCAGCTGCACTTTTGTCCATTGCACTTGCATTATTTAGGTTGTTCTCTATGCTGTAATCATTATGAGCAGCAACAACAAAAGATGTAATGAAACAATCTGTTGGCACGCTTTGATCCGACCTTGCTTTGATGCCTGTTCAAAAAAAGGTGATTCTGCAGTTCACTATGAATGTATAAAAGTAGAGGTAGCAAAAAGTAGAGGGGCAGCAGAAAATAAAGAGAGGCAAGCCTGTTTATGGTAATAACTAGAAGGCTTATTCTTGTAGATAATAATGAAAACTGCAGATAAAAATTATGAAAATTGTCACTTTATTAGGATTCAAAGATGCCACTTCAGAAATAAATTCCAATAAGAGCTTTTGCCTTTTTTAAAAAAAGATTTAAGTATAAACCAGCTTATGGCTCTCCTTTTGCGTAGAGAAATCGGATAAGAAGTACCTTCAGACAGCCCCCCCCCCCCCAATTCTTGCCACAGCTTCCACACTTCAGTCCCTAAACCAATAGATTTAGTATACGTGTCTGTTGATTATATATGCCTGTTGGTTTAGGTTTGCCCATTGATGTGCAACCAAATAATACTTTTAGTTATTAATAACTTAACAATTATTTTAAGATTAAATAATTATTTAAAGAGCATCCCACTGAGCCACTTTTATCCGTCTGAAGTTGCATATAACTGTTCAGTTGCATTGTAAGTGACTTTAAGGGTTTTCAAAGCTGCAAAACTGATGATGCTGTTACAGGCAGAGGGGTTTTCAGATGGAACTCGCCAGAACTGAGTTCCAGCACCTCTTTGTAGCATGCTGGTAGCTGTATAGAGGCACGGCGCCCAGAGCTGCGTGTCGGAGGCTTCAGCTGCATGGTGCTCGTGGTTTTGTGTTGGAGGCCATGGGGCAGCGCATCAGAGGTAACATCGTAACGCATCCACAGTGCTGCCCCCCCCAAAAAAGCGTTCTTCTCCCCCTAAAAAAAAACTCATCAACTTAGGGTTGTCCATCAAAAAAATGGGGAGTTCCTGCACCTCTTTTTCTAGGAAAAAAAAAGCACCGGTTACAGGTGAGGCTGGTTCTGTTTCTGCTGCCCTGATCTTAAGCATTCCTGCCAGTCTTACCTGCCTCTAGTGCCAGAGTGATAGCTCTGCAATGCTAGCATAATATAATGGCCTGTTTCATTGTATTTTGGCAATATTTGCAACTCCCCATAAAAATTTCCAGACCAGGCAGTCTAGGAACAATCTGTAAACCATAGTTATTCTTAGGTTGCAAGAAACACTGTTTTTATGACTTCAGTTTAGTTTAGTTATTACCTCTGGCTCATTGTCCTTTGGCTTTTCAATTGTTGCTTTTTTGCTTGCATGCAAAAGAACTTCATGCGACACATTTTGTTATGCTATGACCTGACTGTAAAATTTGATTTCTGACTTTTCAACTCTAGGAATCTCTACCACCTGTCCAGTTTGACTGGAGTAGCAGTGGCCTTACTAACCCTTTAGATGGTACGTCTCTCCGTAGAGCCTCTAGCACAAGAGCTAGAGTTAAGAAACCTACAAAGTTCAGACAAACATCTCTCTGCTGATTTATTTTATATATATATCTGTGTTTTTGTGTCTGTGTGTGTTTGTATGTATGTATACACACACACACACACACACACACAAACACAGATAGATATACACACACATACACACACTATTTCTTAACTTTGGAAATTCAGGCTTTCTTTCTGTTTAGTTATGCACTATTTAAAGTAGTGTTTAAGAGCAAGGTAATACACCATTTTGCTGAATTGGTGTTGCATACACACAACCACATTACATGTTCTACGAATAGAATAGTTAAATAATTTTTGTTTACTTTATAGCTATCACCTCAACAAACCCTTGCCTGTTTAGACTTTTGTAAAGTTTGAAATGGCATAGTCAAGTGTGTAATTGTGCTTGCTTTCAAGCACAGTTTTTAACATAACCTGTTTGCAAAAGGAACAGTTTTTAAAAAATTTTGTTTTAAAATGTGCATATATTTTATCAAAGCTTCAAAATCTAAAAGCCTCTAAATTTAAACTAGGGCTAGTAGATAGTGACATAGTTTCTTAACCATTTGTTAATAATGCTGTTGAACTTGTCATAATTACTGGCCATACCACTGACCTAAAAACACTGCTATACAATGTTTAAAGATGTGACCACATTTCGGTCCATATCAGAGTGCTGAAGGAAAGCCTGGATGGACTCTCTTGCTGTTGTCTGGTGTCTTATTACTGCAGTCAATTCATCTTGCTTTCTTTTAACAATTTCTTTAAAATATGTATATCTGATTTTTCTGTTTCAGTATTAAAGGGGAACAATGTAGTTTGCCACCAAGGAGCTGGATGTAATAAGAACCATTGTTACCAATATTCATATTTTGTTTTTGCTAACCTACTGACAATCTGCTACTTGAAGCTATAGATACAATTTGTCAGTCTCTTTAAATTATGTAGAGAACATATATGATTTTGAATTAGATGAATAGTTTGGAATTTAAAAAAATGTTTCCCTTTAATTAATCCCTTTAATCTGGATCTCTGGTTCTGTCCATTTTTCTAAACAATGTTGGCTACTTTTTAAGTTATTAGTGTTGAATTCCTTGCTGCATTTGTACATTAGAATGTACACTGACTTGTTAACATCTTTAGAACCTACAAACTAATATTGTAAGCACTATTATGTGAATTCTTTTTTTTATAAAACAAAACTATGTAATGAGTACTAATTATAACTGGCATGTTCAAGTGTGTGTCTTACCCCCTTTTTACACATAAATCCCTCCCTTGGCTTACCTTCTATATGGCTGCCTACCAACACGGTCACTGAATTTCAAGCTAGTGGAGGTTCCACTCTTCTGAACCTTGATTTCTTTGGGCCCGTGGATGACAGTAGCTCTAGCACCACCACCACCATCCCAGGTCAGCAGAGTGCTACACTGCAAATTTAATCTCTTAACCTTCTTACTAAAAGCATGAGCCGCATTATGTGACTTTCCTACAAACAAGAAGAATGTCTATGCTCCAGTTTTCTCTTAAGATGCCCGCCTTCAGTAGTTCCCCCTTCTATCATTTGCCTCCAGTAGTTAGTTAATACTGTTTGGTTGGTATTCTAGAATGTTAAGCAAAGAATGGATTTTAAGAAATTTAAGAACTTGAAATGCTTAAAACAATTTTTTATTGTGGGCTAAAATCTTGATGTATCCCACTTGAAAATGCAGTTGGAATAAAATCCTAGTATTCCTGAGAATGTTGCTCAGTTGAAAAAAAATCTGAAGACTATGATTAATGCACTTGCTTATGGGTCTCATTAATCTTAGTACTTAACATCTACTGAAGATAACCAGTAGATGGCTGCAATTTCTTCTTGCAGTAATGAAGTTTACAAACAAGAGCTTACACCTAGCTATTTTATAGATAAGCTTTGCTGTTGTTTAAGGCAGTATAAATGTATTGTAGTTCTGCATGACACTTAATGCCTTAAATATTTTAATCATTGAGTTGAAAAAAACTGCAAATTTAGAAGAAAAATCTGATTAGTTATAGCATATCTTTTTACAGAACAGTCTGCTTCAGTTTAATTCTCTTGAAAGATAAAGCTGTTTCTCACTTTACCTTGAATTATTAATCTGTTGGGAAATCAGAATGCAAAGAGATGTGGTTACTAAAGGAGTGGCATCTATTAAATCCTGCGGCTGCAGGATTATTGAACAAAGGTTCCTCCTGTGTTCCTCCTGATGTTGTGGTTCTTTCAAATCCTATCACTCCCAGCCTGCATCGCCAATGACCAGGGATGATGAGAATCATAGTTCAACAACATCTGGAGGACCACAAGTTAGTCATTCTGGAACAGAAGATGTGAACACACTTCCCATACCCTTGTACAGCCCTCTGCTTGGAGTTTATGTTCCTTGATAGAGCAGAGTTTGCCCATGCACTTAAGGGGTGGGGAGAACAGGACTCCATTATGATCTGTAGAGATTTTTTTCATGGGTGGAAAAATCACGTTCTTGATTTTTGTGTATGTGTGAGGGTTCTTATACGTCATTGTCATGATTAATTTTTCACTTCTAGTGTTTATGTTTCAGAACTACTTGATCATATTTTCTGGAAGTCAAAAGTACAGAAACTTCTTGAGTTTTGTATGGTAGTTTGATATAAAACTTCACACACTACTTTTAAATCCATCTATGCATTCCACAGTATTGATGATTATTAGTAGACATTTTTTGGCATCTAGTAAAATACAGTTTGACTACTTCTGATACATTCATTTGAAGTGATTATAAAGAAGGCACCTTATCATTTATTATGGGTTTTCATTAGAATATTGTCAACGAATTTGCAGATGTCATCATTGCTTGTAGGTTTTCTGGCTTGTTTCTTGGAAAGTCATTTGCTTCTAGCCTGCAGCTCTCTGTGTGGGTTATGTATGTAATTTTGTGTGGTGTGTGTGTTTTGCCTAAGCTAGGCGCTTGATCTAAACTTGGTTGCCTAAATTTCCTCAATCTCATTAAGGTTTTTATACATATACACATTTTCTTTGAAAATCCTTTTCTTTTGTTAGCTGCCTTTTAATCATTTTGCTGAAAGGCGGTATATATTTTTTATAATATATGCATTTAAAATATAGGTATATATTCTTTATGGGTATTAGTAGACACTTTTAGATAATATTGATTCTTGGCACTAATTTTTTAAAGCACTTTAGTGAAATGATTGCAGTATCAGAACATGTAGTAGTAGCAGTTATAATAATCATATGCTAAGGTAATAAATTTCACCTAATGAGTGCAGTTGACAAGTGGCTTGAAAATACAAAGTGCTGCAACATGTTACAAATCCTTCTTAGATATTGGAAATTTCAGTTGTGATTTTTAAAATCTTAAATACTTACAGCTTTATTCAGTGGCATACCTTAATGGGATTTCAGAAGCTTTGTTTCTTGTAATGTTATTATTTCTGTATGTGACTCTTCAGAAGGCCTGGGCCTGTTGTATTTAAGGGTTCTGTAAACATCTGACAGTATTTCAAGTGTATTCTGTATTTTAATTTGAGATTTGAACATGGGACTGTTTCAGTTGAATTGATCGCAAGGTTGAAGTGGATATGAGAGGCAAGTGCTGCTCTGTCTTTGCCTTAACCGAAGGATTCTCTACTTGATCATTCTACGTAACAGATAGTGTCACCCTTTAACCGTCATATGAATAATTTCTGATGAAAGTTTTGTTGTGGTATATCTTGGAGTCCTCATCAAAATGATTTTTTTAAAATGGATGTCTTCCCATTTTTGCCATTTTGAACTCGTAGGTGTCTCAGCTTTTTTTTTTAAAAAAAAAAATTAAACTGAATTCCATCAGTTTGTCCAAATTATATTACATATTTCTAGAAGCTTGCTTTGAGATATTTCATTGAATCCTGAAATCCACTCTTTCCATAATTGTGTCCAAATAAAAAGTGAGAAACAAATAAGAAGTTTGAGAAATTGTTTATACTTTAGTGAAGAGAAAAAAATTGCATGAGGACTTCAAATACTCTCTACTTGTATGTTCTACAGAGACAGTGGAATGGAAATGGAAGTTAAAGAATCGATGTGTAGCAGTGAAATAATGTTCTAAATAATAATGTAAAGCCTTGGAGGATTTTGGTATAAGAAGAAAATGATTATTCAAATTTGCTTTTCACTCCTGGCTGACATCTTGTATGCCAGTTTTATCTGTAACTCCAATTCTCTGAGTAGTGCATGATGAAAATTAGCAAGTTGTATCTCAATCACATATTAGAGATATAAGTAGCTCAGATGTTTACAGAAGATGGAAATACAGTATCCTAAATTGCAGTTGAACATGTGACACTTGTTTCCATCTATCACTGATTATAATTTTATGCTATAAGGTGTGGATCCAGAACTGTATGAGTTGACAACTTCCAAGCTGGAAACCTCCAACTCCACCAGTAAAGTGACTGATGCATTCGCAAAGCTAATGTCCACAGTAGAGAAAGCAAGCACATCAGCAAGGTAAATCACTGTGATTAGTGACCCTTATTATTGGAAGTTAAAGCTTGTTCAGTAACTGCAGCTTAAATATCACCTAATGCATGAGTTCAGTTCCATGATAGATCTCCTTAGATCTCTATTGCTGTACCAGTATATATTTTTCAGAGATTCTTTTCTGCTTCTAATGTCACAATTAAATCCGTTGGATTGAAATGAGTTGTCAGAACTGTTGCTTTTAAAGTTTTCAGCCTATCCACAGTGGTATGCAGCCTTCTAGTGGCTCATCTGCACTGCTGAAAGCTCACTTGTAAGCCACAAAGCTGACATTTCCCATGTTATAAACTGTTAGTGACAGCAGGAACGTAGCTGAAAGCAGAAATTGTCTTCTATGTGAAATGCCTTAACACTTTTGCAGACATGTGTATATACACTCTCTCTCTCTCTCTCTCTCTCTCTCTCTCTCTCTCACACACACACACACACACACACACACACACCCCAGCTACTGCATAATCCCCTTTTTGTGCAAACCCTTATTTTGTGCATAGCATAATAAGCAGCCATCACTTATTAACTATTTCTAGGAATCTAGAAACAGAATATGATTTCTTCCTATGTAGGGAATGGGATGGAAGACTGCAAGTAGGGGTCCACTAGTAGGACTGTGCTCAGGCTGTGCTTGTGTGCATCACACAAATCACATCTGATTTGTGTGTTACGCCTATTTGTTAAAACATTTATATCCTGCCTTTCCTTTAAAAAGCAAGTATGTAATATAGAATAAAGGTACAACAGAGACATTTCAGACTGTGAATATGGTAGCACTGCTTCCCTAGGAATGTGTGGCGCTCTTGTGAATTGCACATTATGTAGCTCCATGCACAGATACAACATGTGAGATGACTGTGCTGGTTAACAGGTGCTTGGATACTAAAGTAGTGAGTTGTGGCAACTTGCATGTGCTGTGAATACTCATTTTAGTTTTGATCAAACAGCAAAGATTTGAGGTCATGCAAAACATTGGCTTTCATTAAGTCAGCTCGCAAATTCAAAAGTAGCAAGTAGTCATGAGCTAAACTGAAAGTATGCAAGGAACAGCTGTAGCAGGGAATGCATGAGCCTATTACAGAAGTTAACAAATGGTACGTGTGTAACTCTTATTGCAAGAGCCCTTTACACATGTAACATTAACTCCTGTAATGGCCTCATTTTCAGAACTATTTCTCTGCTGTTTGCCACTAGGGGGAGTGCTAAGCCTTGATGAATCTTTGCTCAGGTCATTTTCAACTTGGCTTTTCATCAGAAAAGTGAAAATGCAGTGTGTCCTCCTGCTGACACTTTTTATTTTTTGTTTTATTTTTACTTACACTGTAGCCTTCAAAATAGAAAACTAAAGGCTTCAGTCTTTCATGCCAGAACATTCCTTGCCTCCACTGCTTCTGTACAATGTAGATATTACCCCCCCCCAAAAGCTTAACCTCATAATATTTTTGCCAAGTGCATAGGGAGTTGAAGACCTCTTTACTTATGATGACTCTTCATAGGTTTGTAATGATTTGCCTGGCCTGACTTTTTCTGATCTGGTAGAGATGGACAAGGAGAAAGGGGTAAAATGTGAGTGAAGTACCAAAGGCAGGAGGTGGGCAGTGAGAGATCATCTTGGTACAAAGATACAAAATTAGCATGAATGCTGCTCTTCCAAAGTACAAGAATTATTTGTTGTAAACATAAGTGTGATACACTATCCTGTGAATGTGTCCTTTATGTTCTATTGTCTAATCTACTCTTAGGCGTGAGTTGCACATAACATAGATGTTGCATGTGGTGGCAGCTGAAGGAGAGTGTGGTGTTGAATCTTGTTAGACCCTCTCCTTTGCTCATGCCACTGTTAGAGGAAATTTTCAGGGTGGACAGAAACCTTTTATGTACTGTCCTGCTTAGCTTGTCTGTGTGGGTGGAGTTACTATGGAACAGCTGGGACCACGTACAAGTTTCCAGCACTGGACACATCTCAGTTGCTGAATAAATACTCACTTTGAATTAATGTTTATCCTCTAAACCACAAATGCAGCAGGGAGAGAGACAGGGAAAGAAAAACTATTCACAAGGATGCCTATTTAAGCGGGGGGGGGGTACCTAGAGGAGGAAGAGTTGCCATGTTTAAAATTCCATCTCTCTTAGATTGGAATTGTGATTAAAGCCTCTGTGTTGCTAGTTGAAATGAAGGAATTTTAATACATTGTCTTTTTCACTTGAGAAAAAAATATCACGATGGCTAATTTCATTTCAAGAATAAATGTTAGAACAGTACTAATTTTATTAATAGAATACTATGCATTGCAAAATAAGGCCCTTCAGTTCTTAGGAGCAGCTTCTTGGGACACATGAGGGGCTACAATAGGGAAGAGGGCATAGAAGTCCCATTCCACTTACAATGTTTTGGATCTGAGCTAATGTATCCTAATTCACATATATATCAAAGGAAGTTCAGATCTATGATGTAAGTAGAATATGCTTATTAAAGATGACATCAAGACACCAACTCACTCAAATGAGGTTTATTCAGTCCAACCATAGCTGAATATGACAAAAAATACTGTATTTTTTTATCTGTTTTTTATTTTTTGACAGTAGGAATACAGCCTGTTTATTCACACTTTTTTGTTCTTACCCTTCACTTTCTAGTGCTATTATTATTTTATAACCACAAAAAGTCTAGTAAGAAAGATGATGAAAAATCCCCTGGAAAATGCATGATAATAACCGCTAGTTGACAAGGCCATATCTAACCTCCACATAATTTGAGATTTCAACAAGGACTAGAACCTCCAGACACTTTTTATATGATTTGGCATTCCTTTATGACCCCTACTATCATTTTCAAGAGCCTGGCAAATCTGGAACTATACTTGATGATCTGATGAAGTTGATCGTCTTTACATGGACTTTCTTATTTTAACTCATGTAAAACCACTCATTCTACATGCCTGTTTTATAGTTTTGTCACTTTTTAATTTTTGTTGTTATTATGAAATGAAGTAATAATATAATCTCTGCATAAATATATCCAGATGAATACAGTGGTGCCCCGCAAGACGAATGCCTTGCAAGACGAAAAACTCGCTAGACGAAAGGGTTTTCCGTTTTTTGAGTCGTTCCGCAAGACAAATTTCCCTATGGGCTTGCTTCGCAAGACAAAACGTCTTGCGAGTTCTTGCGAGTTTGTTTCCTTTCTCTTAAAGCCGTTAATAGCCGCTAAGCCGCTAATAGCCGTGCTTTGCAAGAAGAAAAAACCGCAAGACGAAGAGACTCGCGGAACGGATTAATTTCGTCTTGCGAGGCACCACTGTACTTAGTAAATAGGCAACATTTTATAACCCCCTCAGATTTTATGTGAACATAATACACTTGAATTCTCAGTAAATAGCTAGTCTGGAAGCTCCCTGTGTTCACTTTTTCCATGTTGTGCCTCTGTACTATGCTGAAACTTTACCAGTCTGTCTGGGCATATTACACACTATGCAGCTATCTGCAAACAAGGCAGCCTGGATCAAAGATGTCTGCCTGTCTTCGTAAAAACTATTATTGACAGTTTGAACTATCTAAGTAACTTTCCTTTTTTGGCTTCTCTCTTAGTAACTTTCCTTTTTTGGCTTCTCTCTTAAAGGGTAACTATCTGGAGCCCCAGGGGCTACATTTCAGCCCCCTACATAGCTTCTAATTTGCCCAGAACAAAAGTAACAAAACAAAATCATATCTCCCAATTCCCCGCACCCCCAGAATAGAAAATGAAATGTCCTGTATGTCCATACATTTCAGGGGCTTTTGTTAATAGGCTGTCTAAAATATTAGACTCATTCCCTGAATATGTAGCACAATTACCGTATTTTTCGCACTATAGGACGCACTTTTTCCCCTCCAAAAATGAAGGGGAAATGTGTGTGCGTCCTATGGTGCGAATGCAGGCTTTCACTGAAGCCTGGAGAGCGAGAGGGGTCGGTGCAGCGCGTCTTCCCGCTGTCCCCGGACTTGATATCAAGGCGGGCGGCGGGGAGAGCAGCGCTTCTCCCCGCTGCCTGCCCCCAAGCTCCGGGGACAGCAGGGAGACGCAGCGCGTCTTCCCGCTGTCCCCGGACTTGATATCAAGGCGGGCGGCGGGGAGAGAGCGCTCTCCCGCTGCCTGCCCCCAAGCTCCGGGGACAGCTGGGAGACGCAGCGCGTCTTCCCGCTGTCCCCGGACCTGATGTGAATGCGGGCGGCGGGGCGAAGAGCGCGTCTCCCCGCTGCCTGCCCCCAAGCTCCGGGGACAGCAGGGAGACGCAGCGCGTCTTCCCGCTGTCCCCGGACTTGATATCAAGGCGGGCGGCGGGGAGAGCAGCGCTTCTCCCCGCTGCCTGCCCCCACGCCCCGGGGCCAGCAGGGAGACGCAGCGCGTCTTCCCGCTGTCCCCGGACTTGATATCATTGCGGGCGGCGGGTCTAAGAGCCCTTCTCCCCGCTGCCTGCCCCCAAGCTCCGGGGACAGCTGGGAGACGCAGCGCGTCTTCCCGCTGTCCCCGGACCTGATCTGAAGGTGGACTGCGGGGAGAAGAGCGCTTCTCCCCGCTGCCGGCCCCACAAGCGCCTGGGGGGGAAATAATTTTTTTTCCTTTATTTCCCCCCCAAAAAACTTGATGCGTCCTATGGACCGGTGCGTCCTATGGTGCGAAAAATACGGTACTTTATTGTGCACAATCAAGGTACAGGAAAAGGGCTCCCAATACCTCACTGTGAACAGTGAAGGTCTGAGCAGAATTCACCCTTCTTGTTTTACATTCTTGTCAGAAAGTTGGGTTTTGGTGTTTGACATCCTCATGGGAAGGGTTTGTTGGTTGTGGTTTTTTTAAATACTTTAGAAAGACATAGCCTTTCTAAATATAGCAAACATTTTTATATGTGATCTGTTTCAAATTTCTGTGATGTTCCATTGACACAAGATACAAATTTTACTTTTCACCCAGTAGCTGATGCAAGAACTGCCATAAATGGTCTGGGTCTTACTCTGTGAGTTTTAGTATTGGGCATATGAGTAGCAACTTTTTTGGAAAAGGTCAGCTCTTTACTAACATAGGGGATGCCCACACTGCACTCTTCTGATCATGAATGTGACAGAGACCTAAGACAGATATTTTACAACATATGGGAGATGAGGTCACATTTAGACGGTGTTCTCAAATTTCCACTAGGAAAGAATATCATCAAAATGGAGATCTAGAGGTAAGGTTCCCAATCAGTGAGTTTTGCTGTAATGCTATTAAATATTTAACTAGTTAGATTTGTTGTTTTACAGATTCAGTGCAGTCTTCTGGTACAGAGTCACTTTGGCCACAGTAACGTTAAATCACAGCCATCTAAAAATAAGTATTAAATAGTGCTTTGGAATTAATAGGTTAATCTCTAGCTTGTATGAGACCTATAAATGGTCGTTTGATTAAATAGTTAGACTGAGTCCCTCGTCTGTGCAGCTGTATACAGGATATTTTACTTTCTGTTCTGAAAATGCAATACAATACTGGCACTTGTGAAGTTTGACTTTGAAACAGTATTTTATTAATTAATGTTGTCAGTATACTGTCCTGAAAGTTACCAACATTGTACCAATATTTGTACCAATTTGTACCAATATTGTTGTCAGTCTCTCCCCCCCCCCCAAAAAAAAATTTTTTCCTAAAGACTGGGTTGAAAGAGGCCAGCTCTGCCAGTTCTAGCAGATATAATTATGGAAATATGCTCGTATAACCTTTCAGATTCACCTTCTTTTGTGGAAAAGTGAATTCTAAACAGCTAATAAAAATAGTTTCAGCTCTAAGTGCTAAATAGCAGCAGCCCAGTGCAACACCACAGATGAAGTAGCCCATACACAGTAAACGGATGTGGCGGAATCTCATCTACAAAGAGCCTACTCACTACTGATGTCTTCCTTCAGACACCTACCCTACAAAACAATCAGAGAGCAATTTTGCCCAGGAGAGTGGTAGGCTCTACTTCACTGGGCATCTTCAAGCAGAGACTTGGTAGCTATCTAGTGGGGTTGAACTACCTCTGGATTTCCTACATTATGACTGAAGTTGGATAACCCCCTTATTGCCTTTTAGGGCTCTTTATGTTTAGAGAAAAAGTGGGTGGGGGAAACATTGTAGGTTCATAAAATTATGCATGATGTGAAGAAAGTGGCTAGAGCTTTCTCCCTCATAATAGTAGAACTTGGAGTCATCCAGTGAATTTGATTAGCAGTAGACATAGAAAAAGATAATTAAGTTTTGGAATTCACTACCCCAGGATGTGGCTATAACCACTAGCTTAGAAGGCATGAAAAGGGAACTAGACAAATGCCTGGAGATATCAATGGCTCTGGGGCATGATACTGTATTCCTTACTCTGTTTTTTTTGCTAAGATGTACAGTAGGAACTGTGAACCCAGAACCTAGTTTCAGAGGGCAGTTTGCTGCTGAAGACCAGTTGTTGCAGAAAAGGTCTACTGCTTTCAAGCTATGCTCATAACCATCCAAATGCCACTGTGGGAAGCATGAAAGTGAGCTAGATGTTCTTATGTTCATAAACTTAAAAGAAATTGGTGCTACATAAGCACACATGCTAGAATGGAAAGTAGGTTTTATACAAGGTTGGTCAAGGAAGTAAGAATTAGGCTTGTGTGTGTACCCTCGCATTTGTGTTCTACTGCACATGGCGCGTCTATATTCATAATCTGACACCAAAAGAATCAATTGTATTACTTGTGATACTTTTCATACAAAGGAGAGAGACTGGCTTTACACCCCACAGTGTGAAGTCCTCTCAGAGCAGTGTAATTATATCCTCCTGAGCAAAGAAAGCAGGGTTAGAATCATTGCTTTGGAGCCATAGCCACAGGTTTATGGTGGTTACAATGCACGAGTTTGCAATGCAAAGCTATAATAAATTTGTTTCCTTATGCAGAGGCACTATGTGTTTAGGTATCTTGAAGTGTGCATTGATGGCAATCTGCAGAAATGCAATATTTGTTAGTCTTAACCTGCACTACAGAACAAAGATGAACCCTGAAGATGTCACAAAAATAGAATGAGGGAGGAAAGTTTCTTGATTTGTAGTAGATAGAATTGTATAACAGTTGTATAATGGATTCTTTGGCTTGGCACAGAAATCATAAGAAGCCACTCAGTGAAAAAGTCCCTATAGTTTATCTACTGGGTTGTGCGTAATGGGAAATGAAATGAAATAGAATACATTTGCCACATTGCCACCCCCCTCTCCCCTTTTCCTCACGAAAACTGGAGGAGCGGGGTGTATTACAACTACCAATGTGATCCTGGCTCTGCAAATAAGTGTGGATAAATATTTATTGATTGCATTTCTACTGTACAGTTGTTTACATGTTTGTAACAGGTATGCGGTATTGGGTATGCTGGTTGTTGTTGAAAACCAGATAATGTATAGATATTTTTTTTAAAGGCACTCAGACACACACAAATACATATAAATGTGTTTTTACTCTTACACTGCTATGTTAGAAATAATCCCAGTCTTAATTGGCTTGCACTCTGCCATCAAAATCTAGTAATCTAGAATCTAGTCCTCATCAGAATCTAGTAAAGGGAAGAAGTAAATGCAAACATTATTAGCTGAGTGGTGCAAGCTTTTGTGTAATACTGCAATAAAGCACACTGGCACTTCAGAAACTCTCATAAAGTTATTCACTGCAATCCCCCACATGACCCATCTGTTCAACAACGTCATAAAAGGGGCCACCATCCCTAAAACCTGGTCCTCCTCCAAGATAGTCTCTATTCCAAAGCTACTCAAGGATAGCCATAAGGTAGAACTAGACACTGGAAGGACCTATCAGAAGTGAACATAGACCACTGGTACCAAAATGTATGGGAAACCGCCCTACTAGAGAGGTTAGCCAACCAACTCTAGCACAGGGACAAACAAAGGACACCTTCACCCCAGTGTGGCTCCTCTTCTTCACATACACAGCACAACAGGACAATGACCTATCCCTCCCTCCCAACAGCATACAAATCAATATGGTGGCTAACCTGACCCAACAACCTACACACACACACCCCACAGATACAAACAAGCCACACTGCAATCAACTGAACACAGCCAACCAAACTCGGGACCCCCTGACCTCTCACATTATCAATAAAAAGAAATAAATACATAAACAAAGGACCTAGCCATGGGATTCTGGTACAAACCCTCTACACTAATAATAGGCAATAGACCGAAAGAACAAGACCTCATCTCTCTTTCCCCCTTTCCCCCAAATGCAAGATGTCCATGACAAAAATGTCTCTCACTAAATGTAAACGAACTGTGAAAAAGACTAGGAATTGAAAGTGGAGACAATAGATGCACCTTTCCCTCTTTGTCTGTTCATTTTGTAACACAAAAAACTTTAATAAAAACTAATTTTAAAAATTTATTCAGTATATTCATTAGATATATATTTTGTGGGTAAACCAAGCTAGTGAAAATGCAGTTCTCTCCTGGTGTTGTTTAGGAATGTGTTCCTACAGGTATACAAGCTAGTATTATACTGTACTTACTGCGTTGAAACAATTAGAAGAAAAGAGATATTTCTTCAGTATTGCAACTATATGTAAGAGGGTATTACTTGAAGAAAGTACAGGCTAGATTGGTTCATAGACTGTTTCTGTGTAGCCTTGTACAAATAGTAAACTTTTACCTGTGGGGCGGGCAGAGCAAAATGAGCAATTATTCGTGTTATCTTGAAATCAACCTCTCTGCAGTCACCTGTGCTGACATTTCCCTTCTGTTCTATGCCACGTCCATTTAAGAATTCCTTTGCGAGTTGTGCTGCAAAGAGTCTGCACTTCTAAGATTGTAAACTAAGCACAAGATTCTAATGAAATAGGGATAACTGGTATCACTTTCCTCTTTAGAAGTCTGAACTTTAGGGACTTTGGGGTTAGAGTGGACTGCAAGAAACACCAGGTTCTAGTCACAATAACATGCTCTCTCTGTTTAGTGTTCATGAATTCCATTTCAAAAGTAGAGATTTGGGGGGGGGGGGGTTGTCTCATGTAAGGTTTTCTGTGAAAATAAGGGTATGCTCACAACCCTGTTCTGCAGTGGTTGAAAAGTATTTCATCCTCTTAAGCTCCTGGATATGCTCAGGTACAAATTCTGTATCTTCTATGGGGAAACATATTGGCTAAGATGACTTCCTCTATTCAGGTATCTTTCCACAGTGATTTTAACAAACATGATGTAAGATTCAAGTGTTCAACAGATTTCAAATTCTATTTCCTTTCAGTTATGGATGCAGTAACTTAAGAGTTTTGATTTCATATTTAGTAAATAGGTAGTGGGATTTGATCCTCTAGCAGTTGTGTTAAGGACCTGTTAACAGTTCAGAATGAAGCATTGAATTTACATGAAGTTCTGGATGTGAGGAGAGAACCAGTTTTCTCATTGCCAGGGTTGTAATAAGCCCCATATACTAAATAGCCACATGAGGCAATATTGGAAGTATATGACACAACTTTCCTTCAGAGAGGTTGCCTTATCTGAAGACCTTTCTCTAGCAATTCTGAGTAACTTTTCTTTTAACTTTTTTTAATAGAAAGCCCAAAAAGGAAGAACAACTCAGTGAAGAGGCTGCCAAGGTGATTTCTAGCCTTCCTGACTTATCTTTCATGCATGCCAAGGTGTTGATGTTCCCAGCCACATTAACACCTTCAACAAGTTGCCAAGGCAAGGTAGACTAAGGTGAAGTGAATTGGACATTTTCCATTGATTCTTGCCCTAGCCCCCCTTTCTGGGTCCTATGAAGTGATCTTGCTTCAATTAAAAATAATTAAAGTTCAGATGATTTGTTGGTAAGCAGCACTAGAAAGGTATACATACTTATGTATATTTATTTACATATTGGAGTCCTAAATTTATATTAGACAAATGTAAATAACTGGAGAGGATTGAACCTTTTTTGAAGATTTATCCTTTTTTGTTGTGTTGGGGTGTAACCATTTTGTCTTTGTGGAATACACTGGTAGTGTCCTCCTTACAAAACTTTCTAAATAATTTTTAAAAATTGAAATTTCCAACTTTTGCTCTTCATGAAATTTCCCTTTGCCCCCCACCCCACCCAATTTAATAACTTACCCTTGATGAAAATCCTTTTACTGAAAGCTTTAAAGCTTACGGTCTTTCAGTAGTCTTCTTTTAAGCAGACTTCCCTTGTTTCCCTTATTTTTCATCTCAAGTGGCTTTTTTTCTTTTTTGCGGGGCGGGGGGATGGGGCTGAGTGGTTGATTTTTTTGAATTTTTTTTTAGCCTTTTGACTTCTAACAGTGTGGATTTATCATCATTGCCTTTCAAGAGGTTTGCTGTCAATTCTCTTTAGTTAAGTGATCACTGCCTAAGCACTTGATTCTCAAGATCTATGTGTTAATCAATTTGGTTTGGGATGGAAGGACCAAAACTGTCTAAATGTCTTACACTGAAATATACCTGTTACATTTTTGTTGTTGTACCACTATCCCTATATTTTGATTTTGCACAGTGTAAATTTGACATAATCATAGATTGCTATGGTTTAGGCTGTATGTACAGTAAAACTATGGGTTGTAAATGTTTGGGGAAATTCCTATGGAAAAAAGAGAGTGCTATGTAGAACAACCTCTAACAAGGTTTATGTGCATGCCTGAGGTCTTTTTGAAATTTCAGTGTATAAATTTCCTCTTAGCTTACACAAAATAAAAAATAAAGTTATATAGTCTGTTAACGTGTGTAGTAATATTGTTTTTCTTCCTACTTTTACAGTACTGCCAAAGGCAGTAGGAATATCGCTTTTTCAGAGAGAAAAAGTCTACTTGCAGAATATTAACTCTGTACCTTAACAAAAAGCACTGGGTTGGGGGTTTTTAAGAGCCAATGCATTTTTTTGTTAACACATGTGAGAATGCGTTCCTTCTGTTGTACCAAAGTTTTCTGGAAAACTAAAGCATTTGGGCCATGGTTGGAATTCACATTGGAAGCTCACAAGAGTCTCTTCCTAGTTGGTAGGGCTAGGTCAAAGAGGTTGTTGGTCACTTGTAGGCTGCTCCCCCACTTCAAAACTCTTCACATAAGGGGCACACTCATTGTGACATACAGGATAATCTATAACACTTCTGCCTTGCGCAGAGAAAAAGGTAAGGTTCCCTGCTAACTTTTTCTGTCCAGTACCATTACAAATATCCTTTCATAGAAGAGCAGTGCTTTGTAGTTTCTCATTTTGCCTTTCCCCCTCTGGACGCTTCCTAGAAACCCAGACACATAGCGATGAGTTACAGTTATGCTTCAAGACAGTTCAGGCAAAAACATTCCTTTTTAAAACAGGCCTTTGACTTTTAACAATCTATGGCCTTTTAGAGTGGGTGGTGTGTTTTGATGTATTTTTTTCTCCTTGTTTTAATGTATGCATTTTTAAAAAGTTGTTTTGTAAGTTGCTTTGAGTTGTTGTAGTATAAAAAGAGCTACTGATACATTTAATTTATAATTATAACATTTGGTTCTGTCTTAACACCATCCTCTCTGTAGTGTTGATTGCTTCTCAATACGGAATGAAATTTTTGGTCAATATGTTGCATTAACAATGTCTTGTTAAGATATTAACTCTCTTAAATATACAGGCACAGCCTTCTGAATGCCAATAACAGTAACATCAGATCATCTTATTTTATTTACAGTATCCTTTCCATTGCATCTCTTGTGTCCCAAATTGTTTTGCCTCTTCATACTCCCACCAGTTGTGAAAATAGCTGCCCATATAAGCCACATTTTCTAATAAGTTGTGGCCAGTAGGGCAGTATTAATACAAAACCACTATACAGGAAACCCCTGCAATGCTGAACTCACGCTTGTAAAAAGCCCACCTGCTTTAACAATTTGTAGAATATATTCTCTATAAAGCTGATAATTCATTAGTAGTAATGTGTTCTAGCCTCGAACATCCTTACAACTATTTTTCTTTCTTCCCACTTCTAACAACATGTGCTGCATGGTAAAAATAAGTGCTTTTGTTTCCATGCCCTAAAATATTTGGTAAAAAAGAATTCACCCTAATGGTATAGCTGCAGAAAAGAACTATATAGCTATTGTATCAGGACGGTGGTTGAGAGTTAACTCAAGATTCAAGGCTAGTAGGATCAGCTATTGAAGGCTTTCCAGGAGGGGGATGGAGTAGGAATGCCAGCTGCAAGCTGAGAGCTTCTGTCTTCACACAATTGCCCTTAGTGGCAGCTGCCCATTTGTCTTGATGTGCAAGGGCTGGTGCTCCAACAGAAACAGGAAGGAGACAAGGAGAAGGAGGTTGTCTGATCACTAATGTTCAAACACAGACCGTTAGCTTCTAGTTAGCTATCCTCTTTATCATAAGTCCTCACTCCATCCCTGATAGGACAGAAATCATGGTCAAAGTGTCCATTTGTTTTAAGTTTGGTTACAGGCTTTCTGTTTTTATAGAGAAAGGTTTATTCTTACGCAGATTCTCTCTCTGTTTAATATGTATAATATACAGAAAGAGTGAAAGTGGTATAGGACAGTGACTGGCAACTCAGTCCAGCCCAATTCTAGAAACACCTTTGCCATACAGCTCAGGTGCTATTTTGCATCCAAACGGGGTCAAGGCTCTTTACTGTAGATGGGAGCTAAGACCTTCAGAAACCTCTACTTACTATGCCCACAAGCACTAATTTTCTTCTGCAGTAGGAAGTGCTAATATGACATCAAGCTCCATGTGATGTTTCCGTTGTTCGACAAGGAAAAAACAGGTATATGAATAGGAGAATTCCAGGATGCCAAGATCCAAGTTTGGGGCAATTACTCTTTGGTGAGAAAACCCCAGCAGAGATTTAAATTCTCAAAATAAGCAGCAAAGCATGCAAATATAGGCTGCTAGACCTTTAAAATATGCCTTTCTATGTTCCTTCTCTCTCTTCCCCTAGCATGGAAAAAGACCACATGTTTGGTAAGTCAGGCAGTAAAACTTGGCTTAGTTACAGTGGTGAAAGTTCCTAAATTATTGGCATAGGTACTCAAGGAAGGCTTGTTAGAGCCATGCAGTCACGGACAATTTTGGGGTTGCTGCTCTCATCTCACTTTACTGGCTGAGGGAGCCAGCATACAGCTTCTGGGTCATGTTGCCAGCAGGACTAAGCTTCTTCTGGCAAACCTACTTGCACTTTGAGGTGCTTTCAAACTGCTAGGTTGGCAGGAGCTGGGACCGAACAACGGGATCTCACCCCGTAGTAGGGATTCGAACCACTGACCTTCCGATCAGCAAGCCCTAGGCTCAGTGGTTTAACTCACAGCGCCACCCGCATCCCTATCCAAAAGTAGCAAAGGGGGAAGTCCTTGCTGCTAGCACTACTAGTAACTTTTAGGGAACAGTGCCACCTAGAGACTGTATCAGAATATATTGATCTAGCCTGCACTTGATTAACTATAAGGTTGCCAGTGGAGAGTTCATTAGAGCATACAAATTAATATGCCTTTCCTATGTGAAGTTACCATTCAGTGGAACACTCCCTACATTATTTGCCTTCAAAATCTGATGTTTTAAGGTTTCGTGCACATGGAACAGTAGTACACCCTTACTTCTTGGAACACTTATTATGGTAGAAAAGGTATGACTTTACTTCTTTCATTGTGTAATATATACATTAACAACATGTGAAGTTGTGTTCTGCCTTAATTCACTTTTTAACATCAGAGTTAAATTTTTAATTTTAATTTAATGCTGATTTTTAATTTCAGCATTACTAACAAGGAACATGGTGCTGCTGAAACAGAATGTCTGCTCAAATGTGGCTACTGTACGTACAGTCAATGTAGTGACTCTTTTGGGGGCTTTCTTTTATATACTTTTGTCACTATCACTATATTGACTATTCTCTATGATAGTCAAGCACTTTCAAGCACACTAAGCACTTTCCAAGCACCAAGCGCATGGCTTGCAAAGCCCCTTGCACAGAGCTTCCCAATTGCCAGGCATTTTGGAAGCACAACACATTGACCCATGTCAATCACCAGATGCCATTATTATGTCAGGTAATCGACTGCTTAGTGCTCCTGCTCACTTTTGAAAGTTGGCTTGTAAGGGGTGGCTTGACCCGCTAAGCCAAAAAAGTTCCCTACCCCATTTACTGCAGTGAATTATGTGTAACTAGTTCCTTTTGTGCAATCTGCCTCAAGACATGCAAATAAGATTACATAATTCTGCCAATTATATGGATAATGGAAATATTCCTATATCAAAGAAATATGTCTCATTTTTCTGTATTAAGAAATGGAACAATCAGACCGTTTTACTTGGTTGTTTTGTTTTTTAAAAAAAATTAATAATTTATGCTTGTTGCCACACAGAACAAAGGAAGGGTGGGAGTGTTCTTAACCAGCAACACATCTTCACTGGGAATTTGCAATGTAATTTTTGCAGATTAATAAAATTAGACATGTGGTTCTGTTCAGCTTTATTAGATTCTTCTTACTCTTGTTTGTTCTTCACTTCTGCCTCATTTATTTTAATCCTTCATGGTTTGCCTACAGTAATCTTCCTACTCCCAGTTGGTTTGTGCTTCTGTCACTAAAGTTTGGCCACTGGAACCATTCAGGGGTAGTTTGACCCTGTCTGCAGTTATACTGCCCTTAACAGAAATCTCTTTTATATAAAAGGGCTTGGAACTAGTCAAACATTTCTCTTCTGAATGGGTTGCTGCAAGCCTCTAGCCAAAGTGTACAGCTTTCAGTCCTCACCCTTCCTCAAGTATTACACAATAATCTATTTGGATCAGGCTAGAGATGTACGGACTCTCCTTGGTGGAGAGTGGCTTAGAAGCAAGATGAGCTGTTTACTTCAAAACTGGTAAGTAATTGCCAAACCAATTGGGGCAGCTCCAGAAAGCAGCCCACAAGAAAGCAAAGCTGCTTTGAAGAGCTGCCTTTGGGAAAACTGGAGGTGGTTCCCTGTGAGGTTGAGCTACTATCGCTCCCCAGCTTTCATGGGGTATCTTTTCAAAACGGCTCCCTAACAAAGCGACTGAGTAACATTTTCTTAAGGAGCTGCTTTGAAAAAGGCCATAGGTCAGTGGTAGAGCATCTGCTTTGCTTGCAGAAGGTCCTATGTTTTTTAATGCTCCGCATCTTTAGGTAGGGCCAGGAATGAACCCTGCGTGGAATCCTGGAGAGCTCCTTCAAGTCAGTGAATACAACACTGAGCTAGATGGACTAATGGTCTGGCTTGTTCTAAGGCAGCTGCCCCATGGAAAACTAAGGCTACATCTGTGCCATATCTTTAAACAACCATTATATCACTTTTGAATTATGGTGCTGGAGGAGGCTCTTGAGAGTCCCATGGACTGCAAGAAGATCAAACCTCTCCATTCTGAAGGAAATCAGCCCTGAGTGCTCACTGGAAGGACAGATCCTGAAGCTGAGGCTCCAATACTTTGGCCACCTCATGAGAAGAGAAGACTCCCTGGAAAAGACCCTGATGTTGGGAAAGATGGAGGGCACAAGGAGAAGGGGACGGCAGAGGACGAGATGGTTGGACAGTGTTCTCGAAGCGACCAGCATGAGTTTGACCAAACTGCGGGAGGCAGTGGAAGACAGGAGTGCCTGGCGTGCTCTGTTCCATGGGGTCACGAAGAGTCGGACACGACTAAACAACAACAACATACCACTTTTAAGTCATGGCTTTCCCCAAAGAATCCTGAGAACTGTAGTTTGTTAAGGGTGGTGAGA